GTTTTAGGAACCCCTGAGTACACAGATAAAGCAGTTACACAAACCAGACATTTGCTGATCATAAATAACAAAAATGTATTTTGAAATAATTTTTAATATACATACAGTTTTCTATTATTAAAGATGAAAGTAAAGTTGTATACTAATAAGATGCATGTACTTATTTTTCATAAAGAATTAAATCTTGGCTGAGTATTTGCAACAACAAGATGTAGGTTATCATCATTTTTTGGATTTTGATTGTCCACAATGAGAATATCAATTAAGAGAAACATATGGCAGAAATATGTTTTCAGCCATTACAGAAATTGTTGGAAATTCTGCTCTAATTCACTGAACAATTTTTGTTTTTGTTTTGAGATAGAATCTCTTGCGGTTCAGGCTGGCCTTGAACTTGTGTGTATCTGAGAACGACCTTGCCTCTTGATGTTCCTGTCTCTATCTAATGACTTTTAAAATGAAACTCAGGTCAGCAACTTACACAGTGTCTCAGTTTTCTCGTTTATTTTTGAGACAGGGTTTCACTATGCACCCAGTCTGGCCAGGAACTGGAGGTAAGGCTCCTGCCTCAGCCTTCTTAGTGCTAGGATGACAGGCATGCCCCACGAGGCCAGGTTCAGCTTGGCTCAACCTCAAGCGTTGTCTCTGCTTCCTCTCACCCTCTACACTCCTCTCTGTCAGCTAAGCTTGGCTCACACTTCAACTTTTGAGTTAAAGGTCCCTGGCTCTGGTGACACTTCCTGTCCCTAGACACGCCTGCTCTGGCTTCCTTGTAAGACTAGATGCTGGGACAGTGTCTGGCAGGTCTACCATGGGCCCCACAGCCCAGGCCAGAGTCCAGACACGCAGTAGATACCTGCTACACATACCATTCCTCCCTTCTTGGCTGAAGGCCAGGCCGCCTTCCCTGCCCCTCACCTGGCAGCCACCCTTCACCTTGCCCGACCACTCCCTGCCTGAAGATGCAGAAAGTCCAGTTGTACCCAGTTTGTGTCTATTTAACCAAGACCCAAAATGCCCTGGCTGAACATTTAGGAGCACAGACTCAGCAGGTGGGACACGCAGGCTCACCCTCCTTTACAGGGCACCCTGGCATGGCTGAAGATGCTGGTCCCTTGTCCCCATCTTCTTCATGGGAACCCTTAACTGTTGGGGAGTCCACGGGGAGGGAGGGCTGCTCCTACTGCTTCCCAGGATACTGTAGCTCATCCTCCCAACCTAGGAAGAGGAGCCAGAGGCAGTGACCTCTGAAGCAAGGAGGGCCTTCTGCGAAAGTACTGTGGAGGGAGGCCTGTCTCTGCCTTCCTAACCCTCAAACTCAGATGCTATTCACTGGAAATCACATGTTCCTGATTTTCACTAATTTCCTTTCAAAGGCCAAAAATGTCATTTGTTATTTTTGTTCATTTATTATTATTATTATTATTATTATTATTATTTTGGTTTTTCGAGACAGGGTTTCTCTGTGTAGCTTTGCGCCTTTCCTGGAACTCACTTGGTAGCCCAGGCTGGCCTCGAACTCACAGAGATCCGCCTGGCTCTGCCTCCCGAGTGCTGGGATTAAAGGCGTGAGCCACCACCGCCCGGCCTATTATTATTTTTTTAAATTAGGCCAATTATGTTCTGATCGTCTGTTGTTGGGACAGAAATCAAACTCACACCCAGAAACATTGACAGTGGCTGGATGCTGTAGAGTGGAGCTAGACATTGGGAGGGTCAGAGGCAGAAAGATGGCAGGTGGAGTGTGGCAGCGGCAGACCCCCCCCCCCCCCGGCACAGCGTCCCCACCCCCGTCCCGCCTGCCCCTGCACACCCTGTGAAGTGAACTAGTTTGGTTCCCCCACCCTCCTCTCAGGGTTTGAGACTTGCCTCTGCCCCTTAACAGCTCCCGGTCCCGTCAGGTTCCTGAACGACACAGTGCCTCAGCTGCTCCGCAGAAGGGGGCAGAAGAGCACCCACCTCCAGGCATGGGCTTGGCTGAGTGGCAAAGACCAGTGTGCAGGTGCTTACAGTAGTTTGACCTAACCTTCAAAGTTTACAATGGTGCAAAAGCAGTATACATTCAGTAGACACACACTGCGATAAAGTTTCTTTTTGGTCATTTCTTAGTGTTTTAGTTTTAGGTCCCCACACCATTTGCTGTGATAAAAATACTTCCAGGAAAGTGACTTAAAGGAGCCGGGCCAGTCGTCACGGTGGAGGAGTCAGGGCAGCAGGGCCGTGAGGCAGCTCGTTACGAACATCTGTAATTAGGAAGCAGAGAACGATGCACGCTAGTGCTCCGCTTGCTTCCTACATTTTCTAGGGAATGGTAACACCCAGCATAGGCAGGTCTCCCCAACTCAGTTCATGCAGGCAAGATATCATCCCACAGGCATGCTCAGAGGCCCCTCCCCCGGGTGATTTTAGATTCTGTGAACTTGACAATAACTAACACTGACCATCACAAGCGGCTGTCAATACATGGTCCAGCCCTCCCATGTATCTGTGGGGAGTGGAAACTCACGGTTAGCTGTTAGATCATGACACTCTACCACATACTGTCTCTCTAAGCTGGGGACACACTCCAAATGCATTAACCACTTACCGTGTTCCCAACTTACCACAGATTTATCAGGAATTAATCCCATCACAAACTGAATAGTGTCCTTCCATAAAGTTGTAGGAAGTGTTTAACCTAAAGCAATAGTTGTAAAATATTAATCATAAGCCCCAAATCATGCACAATGAAAGTGAGCTTATCAGTAGGTCTAGATAAATACATCATGGCTTAGATACCCAGTAGAATACTATTCAGCAATGAAAAAGGAGGCAAACTGTGAAATGGAACATCACTAAGGGAAAAAAACGAGGTATAAACTCTGCATACAGCCTAGAAGAATCTGAATAACTGCTGTGCTGAGGGACCTAGGCCATACAGCATACACTGCAGGGTTCCACTTATATCCAAAAATTAGTAAACTAATCCATGGTGACAGCAGATGAGCGGTTGCTTGTGCGGAGGCAAGCAGGAGGAACCTGGTGACCTGAGTCTGGGACTCACAGGGTGGAAGGAAAAATCGGACTTCTGCAAGTTGTCCTGCGACCCCGATACATTCTAATGAATGCACACGCAAATAAATAAGTGTAATTTTAAAAGAATCAAAGCGTGCCAATTTAAAAAAATTATTTTGTTATTTTCTGTATATGGTGTTTTGACTGCATGTATGTCTGGTGCCCAAGGAAGCCAGAAGAAAGTGTCGGATCCCCTAGAACTGGAGTTACAGACAGTTGTGAGCTGCCGTGTGGGTGCTGGGAATCAAACCCAGGTCCTCTACAAGAGCAGCCAGTGCTCTTACACTGAGCCGTCTCTCCCGCTTTCCAAATGTGGTCCTTGAAGAGGACCCCTCAGGGCTGGTGCATCAGACCCCTGCTTCATCTCCCTACTTGATCACTTGCAAATTCTGCAATCGGGAGGCAGCGAGGGACTGATAACGCTGGTGCGAAGCTGACTCTTCTTTTTGTACCCTCCAGACCCCAGAATGGTGCCGCCAAGTCCATGGCGGTTCCATCTTCTGAGCTCAGCTAAGCCAACCTGTTGACAGCCCACCCCTCACAGATGTACCCAGAGGTTTGGCTCCTAGGTGGTTCCAGATCCCGTCAAGTTGACAATCAATAATAACCACATTCATAGTTAACATTAACCAATACAAACAAGGAGAAAATGAGAGTCCACTGAAAGACCCTAGGAAGAAAGTTTTATATGACGCCAGCTGCAGGGAGAAGTGTCTACTCAAGATCAGGGCTCCTCCCGGTAAGAGAGACCCAGCTCACCTCCATGTTTTCCATGTTCCTAATACATTAAGGTAAACAGAAGACGTAAAAAGCAAAACAAAACACCAAAGCAGTGCTATATACCATGTGGCATACCATGATACATTTTAACAAGACAAAGACAAAAGCCAAAACAAGATAAAAACAAAAACCCCTGAGCCTAGTACAATTGTGATGGTCATAGGATACCTCCAAGACCTGCCCCCTTTTCCCTTTCTAATCTTAATCCACAGTTTACTGTGGCCAGTGCTGGGGTGATGCGAAGCTCTCAAATCGTCGAAGCACCCCCCCCCCCCCCCCCCCCCCCCCCCCCCCCCCCCCCCCCCCCCGTGGAAACGCCAGCAGTTCCGGTATGAGGCAGATCTGAATGCCACCGCATCCACCCAGCTGGAAGTACACATTCCGTTAGTCACAGACACTAGACCCGGGCCCTAAAGTGGCCCCTCGGCGAAGCTGTTTTTCCAGGCAAGCTGCCTGGCTCCGGTGATTTGGGGCGGGGTGGGGTGCAGGTGGGTCATGACTTTCTGGCGACTGTAGAGAACGGTCACGGGCTAGAACCACGGTTCTTCACTTGGTGGGTTCAAGAAGCCCTCTGAAAAGGATTTCGACGCTGTCCCTCCCCTCCTTAAAAGTCTTTAAAATTCGCCGGGCGGTGGTGGCGCACGCCTTTAATCCCAGCACTCGGGAGGCAGAGCCAGGCGGATCTCTGTGAGTTCGAGGCCAGCCTGGTCTACCAAGTGAGTTCCAGGAAAGGCGCAAAGCTACACAGAGAAACCCTGTCTCGAAAAACCAAAAAAAAAAAATAAAAATAATAAAAATAAAAAAGCCGGGCGGTGGTGGCGCACGCCTTTAATCCCAGCACTCGGGAGGCAGAGCCAGGCGGATCTCTGTGAGTTCGAGGCCAGCCTGGTCTCCAAAGCGAGTTCCAGGAAAGGCGCAAAGCTACACAGAGAAACCCTGTCTCGAAAAAACCAAAAAAAAAAAAAAAAAAAAAAAAAAAAAAAAGTCTTTAAAATTCTGGCCTCTGGCCTCCAGGGTGACCCTGGCCCGAGGGGCTCTGGCGCTCCTCAGGGTCCCTCTACCCCGACTGCATCTCCAGTCCCGCCTGGCACCTGGGACAGCGGAGGGGGCGGGGCGGGGGCGGGGCGGGGCGGGGCCAGGCGCCGGACCCCGCCCACCCGCGGACCTCCACCAAGAGCCGGAGCTCGGGACCCAGCCCAGACTCTAGGGCAACAGTTCGCCACGCTGTCCCTGGTCATCGCCAGAGCCATGAAGATGCATTTCTGCATCCCGGTGTCCCAGCAGCGGCCAGACTCGCTGGGGGGCCGCTACGTGGTGGGTCTGGGGCCCGGGGCCGGCTGAGTGGGGAAGGGCTCGGTGACCCTGCGCACCTCCCTCACCCCCACCCCCACCCCGCATCACCATCCTTGCCTTGGATAACCCGGGCGGGTGTCTGTGCTTTCAGCAGTACTCCGTGTACCTGGACGGGTTCCTCTTCTGCAAGGTACGCTACAGCCAGCTGCACCGCTGGAACGACCAGGTGAGCCTCGTGGGGAAAGCGTGCCCAAGGGCTTGGGTTGTGTGACTCGGAAAGAATGGACTGTGTGTGTAGCGGAGGAGGGGGCGTGTAGCCAGCCCCCTAATTTGTGAACCACAGGCACTCTTTAAAACCCAGAGCAATCTCCTATACCAACATCTGCAACATCAGCTTAAAACAGGAACAGGACCATCCTGATAGCTGCAGGAGTCACCTCCTTCCTCTGGCTCCCTGTGCTCACAGCCCCAGAGTGGTGTCAAGTGGGACCAGAGGAGTTATAAAGGCCCTTTGTGCAGTCAATCTCTGCTTCCAACGTTGACTCATCAGACCCACCTCTCCAAGCCCCTGTGCCAGCCAACCCGAGACTCACCAGCTAAAGGGCCATGCTCAGAGCAGACTGGGTTGTGGCACCGAAGCAGAAAGTTGCAAGACTCAAAAATCTCGTGCAATCCAGGAGGACTTCTGGGAGGAGTGGGGGGGAGGGGCTTGAGAAGGGACTGGTTCCAGGTGGTCCAGGAGCTGAAGCAGAGGATGTGACAGTGGCTGACAGGAGCCGGAGCTGAGAACAGGTAGAGACTGAGGCAGGGGGATAGAGAATTCAAGACAGTCAGACTTGTCTTAGCCCCAAAGGAAAAAGGGGTGGTGTGGGTAGGAAAATTAGATTACCTTAGAAAGAGGAAGGAGCCAGGTAGGCTAGTTCATGGCAGGGAGGATCGCCCTAACCGTGGTAGAGAGGAGCACCCTAACTCTCCTGCTGATGGCCCCCTGTGCAGACCCAGGCCTGCAAGCTGACTTTGCCTTCGCAGACTTCTCTAGATTTGGGGCGAACAGTTCAGGAGAGAGGACAGAGGCATCAGTCAAACTGTTGTGTTTCTCTATAGGCACAGAGAACTTGCCAGAGCGTTCAGACAGCAGACAGGGTTCATCAGCAGAGGGTAGGCTGCCAGCCACTGAGGGAGTGTCACTGGGGGACAGGGCTGCAGCTGACCATGTCACAGAGCACAGGTCATGCCTCACTCAGAGACACGCCCTTCTCTTTCCCAGACTAGCTGTCCATATACCCCGGCCGATAAGAACTCATGGCCACATCACCTGGACAGGAACGCCTTCTTGATCTTACAGGTGTCAGATATGTGGGATATAAATTCAATCTCTCTCTCTCTCTCTCTCTCTCTCTCTCTCTCTCTCTCTCTCTCTCTCTCTCTCTCTCTCCCTCCCTGTAACTCTGGCTGTCCTGGAACTCACTCTGTAGACCAGGTTGAGGGACCTGCCAGCCTCTGCCTCCCAAGTGCTGGAATTAAAGGTATGCACCACTATGCCTAGCTAAATTCAATTCTTACAGCCAAAAACCATGTTGCTGAAGTTATAACCTTTATTTAACATACTGCAATACAATAAAAGCTTCATACAGACTCTTAAGGAAATAAACTGGAAAGGAATCTATACCCCCACATACATGTACAAAGCCTTCCTTTTTCATGGTGCTTTGTATTCGGTCAGATGCAGCAGCACCTGCTGCAAAGCCTGTTGACCTGAGTTCAATCCCACGGACTCACATGGTGGAGGAAGAGCACCAACTCCTGCAACTTGACCTCTGACCTCACACATGCTCCTCCCCCACAATTGAATAAACGGGATAAAAATGGTTTTTAAAGATTTTGAAGCCACTTCATATTCATTTTAAAAAAAAGAGTAAAAATAAAAGCTGGCAGAGAAAGATCTGGGAAAGCCTTCAGCTTTTTGATGCCAGTCATGGGGAAGACACACACACACACACACACACACACACACACACACACACACACACTTGCACACACAGTCAGTATACATACACACTCACACACTCACATGCAGTACACATACACACATACTCACATACATACACACACTTACATACATGCAGTACACAGGCATACTCACACACTCACATGCAGTACACATACACTCACATGCAGTATACATACACACACACTCACATGCAGTACATACACACACACACTCACATACATACATACACTCACTCACATACACTCACACATACACACACAGTCACACATACACACTCACACACATGCAGTACACATACACATACACACATACACAGACACACACACACTCACACATAGACACACACACACACACACACACACACACACACACACACACACACACACCAGGCTGAGGATGTGGTTCCGTTGGTAGAAAGCTTGCCCAGCACATTTGAAGCCCTGGGTTTGATTCCAGGTATTTAGTGAACCAGACATGGTAGCACATGCCTGTGATCCTGCACTTGGGAAGCTGAGGCAGGAGGAACAGAGGCACACGGCCTGACGACAGCGGAAGAGCTGGGCTCCCTTCTGAGGCCCTTAATGGAGGTTTTGATGGAGACTGAGCTCAACTCTAGAGCTCTTGCTGTTCATATAGTGTTATAGTTCTTGTGCATCCATCCCCCATCCCCCACCCTCCCCACCCCCCCCACCCCCACTTTAGACTGCATTCGATACAAAAGGCCAGAGGTTTCTTGAGGAACCAGTCCTGGCTGTAAAACCTGCTACGAGGAATTCTTCTCTGTGACAGGCCATAGATTCTCAACCCTGTTGACTTTTCCCGCTTCATGTCCTCGGGGCAGAGGCTCCCCTAGATTCAGTCCAGCAGGTGGGTGATTCAGGCAGTCCTGTTGTCTCAAGGATACTGTAACTAGAGCCAATTAGGGAATGTCTGCAACATTTATGGACACATATCTAAGAAGACAATTCCCTTTTTGGCCTCACTTAATCAGCTGTCAGCTAACCAAGAAAAGATTGCATGCAAAGAAAACACTTTCCTGCTTCCGTTGAAGGAGGTGAGCAGAGATGGAGGACCAGAGTGCCCTGGCTGGTGGAGCAGCCCTGGCTGGTGGAGCAGCCCTGGCTGGTGGCATTGCTGCTGGGCCCTTTGACTCCCGGGCATGGCAGCAGCATTTCCTTGGCTTTAGAGGAAACATAATTGCCGTGAGAATGTTTGATACCAGGACGGACAAGAGCTGGGTCTGCAGGGGTTAGGCAGGCATGAGGCAGGGTGGGAGCTACTATGCTGCCCCTCAAAGAAGATTCCTGAGAATGTGACCCCGTCACTTTCAGATCTTCTCATTTTCTGAAGAGAATCCAGAACATCAGGGTTCCTGTTTTTTTTCCTATAAGCTTAATTTTTGTAGCAATAGTTTTAGTTTATAAAAAAGCACAGAGTTCCCCCACACCAGGCATCCAGTTTCCTCTATTCTCCAAAATATTTAAAAAGTTTTAAATGTGTCTGGGTGTTTTGCCTGCATGTATGTGCTTTGTGTGAGTTTAAGTTATTTCTAAATGTGCTGTACCCTCAGAGTTCAGAAGAGCATCAGTGAGATCCTCTGGAGATGGAGTTACAGACAGTTGTGAGCCACTGTGTAGATGTTCAGAATCAAACCCAGGTGCCCGGATGAACAGTGCTCTGGACACCTCCCCAGCCTGGTACCCTCTGTCTTAGACACCTCTAGTGTGCACAGTTGTTATAATGACCCAGTCAGCAAGGATGCACCATTACTAACTCACCCACAGCTTATGCAGATCTGATCAGCCCTTGTCTAAGACCCAATTTCTGTTCGGGAGCCAGCATTCCATTTCGTGGCTGAGTCTCTTTTGGCTCTCTGATGAGCGCAGTTCTCTCAGACTCTCCACCTTTTTCATGATCCTGACAGCTTCAAGGGGACTGGTCAGCTCTTCTGTGGCTGTCCATGTTTTACATGATGGAGAGTGAGCTGTAGGTTTTGAGAGTGAAGGCCCCCCGTGGTAAAGCACATTCTACCTACATTGTCTCAGAGGTCTACCACGAGCACAGCCTCTCACGGTTGATGTTGCCCATCTCCTGGCTGAGGAGGTGTCCATCCGGTTTTCCCACAGCAAAGTGCCCTCCCACCCCAATTCTGTAGAGTAGAGTACTTTACATCACTGTGCACAACCCCCGCTTCAGAAATGGAGATTCGTGTTCCCTGTTCTCATAAATTATCTGGAGTTCACAAGAGACTGGCTTGTTCTCTCCTACTCATTTATTCGGTAACTAAGTTAGAGCACCGTGGGTGATGGGTATTTATGCTTTGGGTTATGTATCGATGCTCTTTGTTTTATTGATCAGGTTGTCTGCACTTCGGCCTCAGAAGTCTTCAATGGCTGCTGTGTCTCTCTTACACTCAACCATTGAACACTTCCATACTTTCTGGTGCTCCAAGCTGCTCCAGGCTGTCTTAGAAAGGGTGATTTCTCCATGGCTCTGTGGTGGCGTTTCCTGAGGAATGGTTTTTGACATCAAGATCTGGGTGTCTGTGTGCACACCGCTCCTACGGTGTCTCATCTAGGCCTTCATCTGCAGAGCTGGGAAGTGGGTGCCGTGCGCAGTAGCCCAGGCTGAGCTCTGCGGGTTTCTAGGAGTGCCCATTTGTCTTAGTCACTCTTCTCGTGGCTGTGATGGAAGAGCTGTCAGAAGCGACTTCAGTGAGGAAGGGCTTGTTTGGTTCACAGTTTCAAAGGACACGATCTATCATGGTGGGGCAGCATTCGTGGTGATGGGAGCAGCAGCAGAGGCTTGTTACAGGAGCGATCACAGACCTGAGCCCCAAGTGCCCATTCCTGGTGACCTACTGCTGCTGGTTAGACCCCGTATCCCAGGTGTTCTATAACCACACACACACACACACACACACACACACACACACACATACACACACACACTACCACCAGCTGGGGACCAAGTCCTCAAACACCAGCATCAGTGAGGGACATTTCACACCTAGTCACAGCACCGTCTGTATGTTTATTCCAGTAATCAGGAGCTCACAGTGAAGCATCCGCACAGGTATTCCAGCCGCCTGCTCTTACCTGTCAACTCACTACAGCAGTGAGAAATCCGACTGCCTGCCACTCGTTGGCTTCATTGCTTGAGTCTGTGTGCCGTACAGCAGCATGAGAATTAACTGCTTCATCCACAGTCCAGCGCTCATGCATGGCTGATTTGTGTACATTCTTCCTGTGGACCTCACACATTCCCAAAGTTCTTAGGTCACTGCCTCCCCTCATGCCCTTCAGTGAGGTGGAGCAGATGTTTGTGATGCTCTTAGACTCTGCTGTCACGTGCCGCACTCCACCCTGAGGCTCTCCTGACTGCTTAAATGATCTTTAAAATATTCACATATGTCAAGCTTGTGCTGTAAAGTTTGGCATGCCTGCACAAGTGGAGAGCATCATGCCCCCAGGAGTAGACGCTCGCACCGGTGGCTTTACCACACTGAAATGTCTGTGTGTTTTACCTACTCAGTGCCCTCCTGTCCCACAGCCCTGGTGACAAGTGACCTTTTCCAGATGGTCTTACAACTGAAACCATACAGTAGTTTTTCCAGACTAGCTTCTTTCACTAGCAACATGCATTGAAGGTTTACCTGTATCACTTTGTGGCTGGATAGTTCATTTCTTTTCATGGATGAACAATATTCTATTGTAGGAATAGATCACTGCTTACCCTTCATATTTTGAAGGACATCTCTACAGGGTTACAGATAAAGCTGTCACAAACATCTACAAGCAGATTTGAAACCGTAGACTCACAAATATAGATAGAATATTTTCTTTAATTTTGCCAATACAAATAGACTAGATATTATAATTGAAATTCCTGCTTGATAACTGTTCTATTATATGTAATTTTACTATGTTAAAGTTAAAACCTTCCTTTTTGATTAGACAGTAAAGGGGAAGTGCTGTGGGATGCCTTTCTGTATGCTGTGAATGTGTTGCTATAACTGGTTAATAAAGAAGCTGCTCTGGCCTATGGCAAGTCAGGTTATAGCCAGGCAGGAAATCCAGGAGAGAGACAGAAAAAAGAAAGGCAGAGATGGAGGAGACACCAGCCCGCCGCCAAAGGAGCAGGAAGATGCCAGCAGACTGGTAATGCCACTGCCACCTGGCAACATATAGATGAATAGAAATGGTTTAAGTTGTAAGAGCTAGCTAGCAAGAGGCCTGCCATAGGCCATACAGTGTGTAAATAATATTAAGCCTCTGAATGATTATTTTGTAAGTGTGCAGGACCAGAGGGCTGGGGAGGACTGGAGAAACCTTCCGGCTACACAGATTTTTAAAGATTTATTTTTATTTGTGTGGTGTGTGTGTGTGTGTGTGTGTGTGTGTGTGTGTGTGTGTTATGTGTGATGTGTAGTGTGTGTGTGCAATGTGTGTATGGCGTATGTGTGTGTGTGAGATGTGTGGTGTGTGTGTGATGTGTGGTGTGGTGTGGTATGTATGTGTGTGGTGTGTGATGTGTAGTGTGTGTGTGCGATGTGTGTATGGTGTATGTGTGTGTGTGTGTTATGTGTGATGTGTAGTGTGTGTGTGTGATGTGGGGTGTGTGTGTGTGATATGTGTATGATGCGTGTGCAGGTGTCTTTGGAGGCCTGAATCGGCTGTCAGCTGTAACTCCACTGCTGCTGGAGTTACAGGCAGTTGTGAGCTGGCTGATGAGGTGCTGGGAACCGAACTCTGGTCCTATGGAAGAGCAGCAGGTACTCTTAGCAGCTGAGCTTCTCCCCAGCACCACATGCAGACTAGTGAGGACAGGGTCTGCAACCCAGTTCAGGAAGCTTTTCCCAGTGTGACTGCTGGATTCTAGAGTGAGACTATGCTTAACACTGTAAGAAATTACCAAACTGTCTCCCAAAGTGGCTTTTGTAGTCTCTGCAGGATATGTTTTTAAACTTTAAATCAAAAGTAACTGCTGGCCTTGGATGTGGTTCTCTAAGAACTGAACAATGCCAAGTAATAAGCAGCAGGAAACCGTATTTGTTCATAGCCAGACAGTTAGTAACCTCTCTATATTCAGACCAACGTTTGGCTGGTAGAAGTTTCTGTGCCAATGGAGATGCTATAAATGTGCTCCGCCAGTTTGGTAGCAACTTGACACGTGTTGCTGTCCATCAAACACATGGAATGTGGCTAGTATGACTTAGGAACCGACGTTAAGTTATCTCATTTAAATAACTGAAGCGTAACTTTACTTACAAGTGGCTAATTGCATTCATACAGGTGTCAGAGTTCTGGATCATTGGAACGATTTTGCCTTTGACTTGGGGCCGGGGAGACACCGCAGGGGATTCAAGGCAGTGTGATGATTCCACTCACGTTTTTGAAATATTACCTGAGATGCTGTGTTGGGAGACAGGAGGCCACAAGGGAAGCAGAGGGACCACCTAGAAGGCTGCTATTACAATCCAGAAAACAAACGCTAACCCGCGCCAGCACAGTGGTAGTGGGGTGAAGAGAAGAGACCAGATTCTTCATGTGTGTTTAAGCTAGCGATCATGTGAATGGCCGGGTACACACTATAATTATGGCAAAGGCAACTACAATTAAATGGGGATTTAAGGTCTCGTCTGTTCACCAGCTCCTTTCTCCTTAAACAGCTGGTTCCACTGTTTAAGCTGAGGGCTCCGGGAACAGTCAGGGTCAGCCTCCAGGACTCTGGCTGGTTTTCTTCTCTTTAAATATAATCATTATTTGTGTGTGTGTGTGTGTGTGTGTGTGTGTGTGTGTGTGTGTGTGTGTGTGTGTCCCTGTGAATGGAGGTGCCTGCAGAAGCCAGCAACATCAGATCCTCTTGGAGCAGTTGTGAGCTGCCTGACGTGGGTGATGGGAGTTAAATCCGAGTTCTCTGTAAGAGCACAGTGTGTTCTTAATTTACATGCCATCTCTCCAGCCCCTAAAAGTTATTTTTATGTATCTTTTATAAAAGTAATTGCCTCCATAGTTTTGGGTTCTATATGGTGGGTAGGAGGAGAGGGCCTGCCTGGGATTCTATTGGAGTTTATGCCAGCCTCATAGGCCCTCTGTAATCAGCACACCCCATAGAAATGACATGAAAGGCACATATTTAAGCTTAGGTGGCCACATTAATTAGAGTAAAAAGAACCAAGAATGGCCATGCACACCTTTAATTTGACTTGGAAAACAGACTGAGGAGGACTCTGTGAGTCTGAGGTCAGTCTGGTCCACACAGTGAGTTCTAGGACAGCCAGGGCTACACAGTGAGAGAAATCAAAAATTAAAAAATAAAAACTCCGGCCGGGCGGTGGCGGCGCACGCCTTTAATCCCAGCACTCGGGAGGCAGAGCCAGGCGGATCTCTGTGAGTTCCAGGCCAGCCTGGTCTACAGAGTGAGATCCAGGTCAGGCACCAAAACTACACAGAGAAACCCTGTCGAGAAAACCCCCCAAAAAGAAATCCTGACTATAATCTCTGATATTCCAGATATAGAATAAATTTAAGGAAATGTGTGCTGTGAGTGGTGGGCAGTCACAAAAACATGAAAATATAGTTGATTTCACCAAGGCAGGACTGGATGTTGTGGGGCATCTGCGGAATGTACACTGGAGGGTGTCCCTCCTAAAGGAAATCTCTTCCTCCCCGCTCCCTTTGGCCACCAACAGGGTTCGTTTTATCTTCCCCTTTAAAGAAAGTGCTCCAAGACAAGGCACTGTGTCTCATCACCCTTGAGTTAGGGTCTCACTTTGACTGTGTCTTGGGACCTTTCAGCTGAGACGAGTGTTCGGAAACTGCCTGCCCCCTTTCCCACCAAAGCACTACCTGGCAATGACCGCCACCATGGCTGAAGAGAGGAGGGACCAGCTGGAGCGATACCTGCAGAATGGTATGTACTTGAACTCTGTTTCATAGGTGTACTGCAGCGTAAATTCCCAGTCACAAAAGCCATCTGTTTTAAAGCCCGTGTTTGGCATTTTTAACATGGTTATGTAATTGTGCAAACCATACCATAATCTAGTTTTAGAATATTATCGTCACCCCACAGGAGACTTTCTGTCCACTGGCAGCTACTTCCCATTTTAGCCTCCTCCCACCAGGCCCGGGAAGGTACCACTCTAGTTTCTCTCTATACGTGCTCATTTTGGATATTTCCTATGTGTGTGATTTTTACAGTGGTGTTCTTCACATTGAGTATTTACTCGGGAGACAGAGGCAGGTGGATCTCCGTGAGTTTGAGGCCAGTCTGGTCAATAAATAGTGTTCCAGGACAGCCAGAGCACTGTTACACAGAAAAACCCTGTTTCGAAAACAAAACAAAACATTAAAAAAATAAAAGAGTATTTAAAGTAGTTTAAGATTTACTCTGGAGTGTTGTGTATTGGTTTGACTGTGGACCTGAAGACAAAATGATGGGCTGAGCTCAACCTTAGGTGTTGGAAGCATCTCGGGGGCGGGGGGGGGGGGGGGGGGGGAATGTAAGTATGTGTTGACTACAGTGCTGGCCTGGTACCTCAACCTTGGTCTTCATCAGGGTCATTTGGTGTCACCATGGATGCTGGAAGAGCTGCTCTGACCCCTGTGAGGCTGACAAGGTCAAGCAAGGACACAGTACAGCTCAGTGTCATAACTCGAATTTAGACTTCAGAGTTAAACCTAGAATCAAATTCCAGGAGCTGGAGAGATGGCTCAATGGTTAAGAGCACTGGCTGCTCTTCCAGAGGTTCTGAGTTCAATTCCCAGCAACCACATGGTGGATCACAACCACCTATAATGAGATCTGGTGTCCTCTTCTGGCCTGCAGGGACACATGCAGGCAGAACACTATATACATAATAAATAAATCTAAAAAAAAAAAAATCAAATTCCATTTCTGCTGTGTGACCTTAGACAAGATAGACACCTCCTCTGAGTCTTGGTGTTTATCTGTAAAATGGAGGTCACAGTAGCTCCATGGTGTCTGTTGAAGATTAAATGAACATTATGCTTAGCTGGCCAGCACCTGGTGCCTTGTACTAAGGACTGGTTGGAGAATATGCTTTTCAATAGCTTTCCGTTTTCCCAGGAATCTGTGCTAAGGAACATAAAATTAGTTTGTCTCTACACCATAGCTACTCCCCCCAATACTATCACTCAGGATTTGTTTGTTTTGTTTTGGAGATAAGGTCTTGCTATGTAGCCCAGGCTAGCCTGAAACTTAGGATCCCCCAGCCTCTGCCTCCCAAGTGATGAGATTACTAGCACATGCCACCACACCAAGTTAGTAACACCCTTTATAAACAGTTTCTCGGGGCTGGAGGGATAGTGCAGTTGGTAAGAGTGTTTGCTGTGTAAGAACAAGGACTTGGGTTCAGGTCCCCAGCACCCATCATCATGTGTGTAGAAGCTGTTTGTGGCCGTGTGTGCAGACTCAGTGCTAAGAGAGTGGAGACCGGAGGAAGGAGTGAGAAACCCTGTCTCAAGTGAATGAAGAGATGACAGGGCAGGACACCTGCCCCACTTTCTCTTCTGTTGCTGGAATAAAGTACAGCGAGCCAGGTGACTTAGGGCAGAAAGGGTTATTTCAGCTTACACTTTCAGATCCTAGTCATCATTTAGGGCGGTCAGGTCAATCACTTACACTGAGCTCGCTCTCTCTCTCTCTCTCTCTCTCTCTCTCTCTCTATATATATATATATATATATATATATATATATATATATATATATATATACATATATATATGTTTTTTGAGACAGGGTCTTTGTGTGTAGTCCTGGCTGTCCTGGATCTTGCTCTGTAGACCAGGCTGGCCTCAAACTCACAGAGATCCGCCTGCCTCTGCCTCCCGTGTGCTGAGGTTAAAGGTGTGTGCCACTTTTAAGCCTGAGCTGCCTTTCTTATATGACCTGGAACCACTTGCCTGGGCATGGCACCACCTACAGTGGTCTAGGTCCTCCTCCATCTGTTATTAATCAAGACATTACCCACAGTCAGGCCCACAGACCAAGCTCATCAGTTGAGGCTCTGCTATCACACAACTGACAGTGTTAACCAGGACAACACACAATGTCTTCCTCTGGCCTCTGCACATGCACATGTGTGGACATGTGCCGGAACACACATATACAACACACAGACTCATGCAATGAATATCTTCAAGCATGTGTGCTCTCCTGCGTACACGCGCGCGCGCGCGCGCGCACACACACACACACACACACACACACACACACACACTCATATGCATGTGCGCATAATGGAGACTGAACCCAGAGCCTTGCACACTCTACCACTGAACTACACCCCAGCCCATGCTGTGTCTCTGGGGGTAGCCCCTTGAGAGCCCCTGTTACGTGATGAGGCACCTTCAGTTGGTGCTTTGGGCAGACTTAAAAATTTCAGATTGCCAAGTGTCTTACCAAACTGGCTGTCTAGACTCAACTTGTAATGTATTTTTGCTTCTTGTTCCATCATCATCCCAGAGGGTGATGGCTACTGAGCAGTGTGGGCAGCTTGAGTAGAGGGAGGTTTCCCCGGAACACTGTGGTCTTGAACTGTCATGATGGGTTCATATTGTCCAGGCCACCTCACCTCAAGGGTGCAGACTCTGTCAAGTGTCCTGCATTGAGAACTCTCCCTTCCATCCTGGACCACACTGCTAGGGCAAGGTCTCAGAACTCCTGGGAGACGCAGTTAAGAGAGTCCCACCAAGCTCATGCTGATCTAGCTTGCTTTCCATGTTTTTCAGTAACTGCGGACCCTCGTGTGGCGAGAAGCGATGTCTTCACCCAGTTCTTAACACTGGTGCAGATGGTAAGCTTCCTTCCTGGGCGGAACTGGCAGCCTCTGCAGAGCTTCCCACAGACTTTCTGGACTTGGGTGAAGTGGAGTCATTTCTAGTAAGCTGGAGGTGCTTCCAGTTCGGATCCTGCATGGGAGATGACGTGTGTCACTCACATTTTGACTTAGGGTTTAGCAGATACTTATTCTGTAGCCTGTGTGCCATGCATCTCCATGCTGGTCTCAAGAAAGGCAGAGAAAGCTGGAGTTCTAGCGCTCAGGGACCCCGTACTGAGATGAGACCCAAGGGCTGAACAGAGTGGCATAAAGCAGCTCCCCTTCCGTGGGCCGGGGACCACTGGTCACTGACCACCTAGGCTGAAACTTGGGCAAGCATTTGTTCAGCACACCTTTCATTCCCTTTGCACGTGTGGAAACATTTCTGTGCCTGTGCTGGGGACCTTGACTGAACGGAAAGGGAATAAAGTTACACAGTAACTCACTGTTGGATCAGATTCCTGTTTTAATTACTTGCACTGGCCATGACCAGAATGAAGATCAGAAACAAGGATGAGATGTTCCCTTTGGCTCATCGTTCCGGTCCAGGTGGGAAGGGCTCCGCATCAGGAGACTGCTGCAGAATGGCTGTGCATAGCACTGTAGAGAGAACGCAGAGGACACACCAGAACCAGGACTGGACTGGGAATTCCAAAGACCCGCCTCTAGTGGTAGGCCACCCCTCCTAAGGGTCTCACAGCCTCCAGAAACAGAACCCCAAATGGGAAGCAAAAACATAAAACAGCAGCCTGCCAGGGGCTCCTGTCAGATCAAACCACGATCTTAACCCCTCACAGGGGGAGGAGTGAGACCTTGACGAGACTCGCAAAGACAAGTTTTACTAACACAAGGTCCACATATGTGCATGTGTTAAATCAAACAGAGAAATGGCTCTAGAACCTTCCGCAGTCTAGTGGTTTTATTTTGTAAGCACTCTTTTCTTTTTCATGATGCTGGGGATATGACCAATTACGCACACGCTAGGCAAGTTCTCTACCACTGTGGTCCATCTGAAGCCCTTGTGCAGCCTTCCAGTGGCTTAAACATGCACAGACTCTCTTGATTGTTGCTGTAGTGATGGTGATGGTGGATACTTCATCAGAATGTGCATGGTGCAAAGGAACTCTGCTTTCCTCGCAGTCTCTCTACCTAGGAAAACTCTCATTTTCAAGTCAGTGTGTGGTCTTTCTAGATAATCTGTGCAGGCCAAAGAATATGAATACATGTTTTATTTTACAAGTAAGCACATACTAGACACACTTTTCTTTTTAGATATTGTCTCTTGGTGTATTCCAGGCTGTCCTTCTCAACCCATTGTGTAGCCTATGCTGGTCTGAAGCTCCTGCTTCAGCCTCCTACGTGCTGGAATTATCGGCATGCATCAATGTGCCTGGCTCACCCTTGACACAGGGTTTCTCTGTGTAGTTTTGTTGCCTTTCCTGGAACTTACTCTGTACACCAGGCTGGCCTCGAACTCACAGAGATCTGTCTGTCTCTGCCTCCTGAGTACTGGGATTAAAGGCATGTGCCACCACTGCCCGGCCAGGCTTACACTTCTTAAAATTTGCTTTTTAAAACTTGAAATCTGGGCTTGGAGAGATGACTCTCTGGAAAAGATTGATTATTCCTCTAGCAGAGGACCCTAGTTGGGTGCACAGCACCCATGTCAGATGCTACACACGGCCTGTAACTCTGGTTTCAGGGAGATCCGTGCCTTCTTCTTGCTTCTGCTTGCATGCGTGCATGCGTGCATGCATGCGTGTATGTGTATGTGTGTGTGTGCGCACAGAGAATTAAAAATAAAAAAAATTTAAAGCTAGAATTCTTGTGGCTCACTGAATGTCAGTACACATAAAGATAAGTTTGACCTGTTTTCTGGGGGGTATGTTATAGCTTTTGCTTTCTTGCTTTAAGAAAATATCTCTTGTGGGCTATCAGTGTTGTGGGGTTTTGTTTTGTATTAATTTTTCTAACAATTTTAAAGGGTTTTTGGCTAGTTTTCGGGCCTTGGGAGTTTTACTTTCTAGCTTTGTATAAAGCTGTGCTTTGTGGCGTCTCTTTTCTGTGTTCTGATTAATTTTCACTGTGGCAATGACTTTTTCTTTTCCATTGTTTGCCCACGAGCTTTGCCAGCTCACTTTTATACTCATTTCCCCAGAGTTAGCTGGAGCTCTCTCTACTCTTTGAGGACTTCATACAGAGACACGCGGTTCTTACTAGTCCCACCCCTGTCCGCCCAGGCTAACGCTTCCTCTGCAGCGTGTGCCCATGCACGCTGGTCATGCTTTCCCCTCTTTGCAGCTTTTGTTTTTGATTGATCAAAGCCCAGGTCCTGACAGCTCATTGGTCCTTGTCTCCTGAGCAGCCATTGGCTGATACATACGGCTGGAGAGGGGCTGTCATTGAGTCGCTGGAGTCTGAGGTATTCCTGGATCTTGGGTCTTGTTTCTGAGCCTTTTCTCATTAATTGCTCTGTCCTAAGATCCCTGCAGCCTGGTCTCTCCAGTAGTGATGCATAGGCCACAGCGTCTCTTCCAGTGACCCGCGTTTCAAATGCTTCCATCCACTCAGATGAGCAGCTGCAGATCTGGCTTGGTGATGATGAATCTGGCTCAGGAGCAAGCGATGGATGACATTTGATTTCTGTGACTTGGGATGATGTATTCAAACAAGCCTCTTCCCTCCCCTCCCCCTCCTTTTCCTATGACTTCTCCGTCCCCTTCTCTTCCTCTCTTTCCCATTTCCCAGTCTCCTTTCTCTTCTACAGGGCTCACTATGTATCACAGGCTGGCCTTGAATGTTCGATCTTGTTTCTGCCTCCCAACTGCTAGGATTACACGTGACAATAACACTGGGTTTATTTAGTTTCTTTGCATGTCAGTTTCTCCAGCTGGAAAACGGGGAGCCGAGCTCCTGTTTCGGTTCGCTTGGAGGATTAAACCGAAAGAAACGCTCTGAGCACTGGCGGCCGCATACTGCTACCTTGCAGGAGGTCAGCACTCTTGTGGCTGATGCCAGGCTCGTTTTCTCTTCCTGCACCTGCCGGAAGGTAGTCTTTAGGGACCACACCTCTTCAGATGGCCCCTGAGCCATGTTCTTGGCTAAGCCCTTGGGATGAATTGCCCCAGACAGCTTGTGTGGACTGGATTGGCTCCTTTGCTGGTGTCCTGATGGGTCCATTTGGCTGTGCTGAACAGGCACCCAGAGTCCTCTGGGCTCAGGCCTGGGACTGTTTTCCAGTTTTCAAAGACGGCTCTCCTTTTCCTTGTTTTCACCTTTCCTCCAAAAGGCAAGCAGGGCAGAGGAAGAGATATTTTCATTCCTGACGGTGTCTTTAAAAGAGGTTTATGTAAAAACTTGAAAAGGAAATTAACTTTGAATTAGGAAGGTGGTCCTGTTAGACACCATGTCTTGTTTTATCTCTTTATATGTTCTACACTCAACACTGACTGCTCTTCCAAATGTACCTGAGTTCAGTTCCCAGCAACCACAGGCAGCTCACAACTCTGTAACTCCAAGGTCTGACACCCACCCTCACACAGACACTCATGCAGGCAAAACACTAATGCACATTAAAAAACAAAAACTAATATGCTGGCAATAAAGGAAGCTGTTTCTCCAGATCCTTCAAGTCAATCTAGAAAATTATGGAGTTGAGAGTGAGTCTTGAAACCCACCCCCAACCCCAACCCCCATGAATCTGAAAAAAAGCTGGGTAGCCTGGACTTCCCAGGTGTTGCAATCTTGTTGCCCTGAAACCTTAACTCAGTGTCTTATGCTAATGCTAGGCAAACCATGCCAGCACTAGGTTGAATTTCTGGGTGCCTATCTGGTGTTCAGGCATTGGGAAATTGAGCTAGGGATGGTGGCACACACCTTTAACTCCAGCACTCAGGAGGCAGAGGCAGGCTGACCCTGTGAGTTCCAGGCCAGCCTGGGCTACATAGTGAGACCATGTCTTGAAAAAGGGGGTGAGGGTGGAACTGGTTGCTGTGGTGAAAAGCCCTACCCATACAGAGTGTCACCTGAGAGCCAGCCTTTAGGGGTGCTTAGAAGCATCTAAAACAAGTTAATTCTGAGATTACTTAAGCAAGATGTAGATAGTTCTTATCAAAAGATTTTTTTCCCTCCCAAATGGATGCTCTGTTGGTATTTGGAAGCAATTCGGACTTCACACTATTGCCTCGGCTCCTCTTCCAGCCCCTCTTCACCTCTACTCTGCCCCACCAAGAACATCCATTAAATTCCGCACTGGGTGTTTGCTCCCTTGAGTGCTGTCTCCTGCACACGGCGGGGACAGGCCCTGCACACGGCGGCGGGGACAGGCCCTGCACACGGCGGGGACAGGCCCTGCACACGGCGGCGGGGACAGGCAAGGACTGCTGGCTCCCTCTGTGCTGGGTGTGGAAACTGATGGCTGTCTTTTTATTTATAGCACACATTGAACATCACCACCCAGAAAACCGCTCTGGCTGTATTTCTGCCCAATGGAAGGAGCCTTAACGTGGAGGTTCTAACGTCGGATACAGCTGAAAAGGTTCTCGAGGTAAACTTGGTTTAGTTTCAGCTCCAGGAAATGCAGAAGCAGGTCTTATGAGGCAGAGACTTCAATGTGATTACCTTCCAGAAGTTCTTTGCCTATCCTTTTACTCTGTGGATGATCTATCTGCAGAGGTACCGCATATAAATCACCCCCAAAGGGAAACTGACTGAGGAAGCCAAGATATAGCCCATCCTCAGGGCCTCCTTGATTTTACCCTTCCTGAGACCTCGGAGGTTTTCCTAAGGTTGTGGCTACTTTCCTGGCATTCACCAGGCTGGGCCCTGGTAATATGCAGGAGGCTCTGTCTCAGGATGCCACATGGATGGCAGCAGGAAGGAGGGTAGTGCCCAGCAGAGGTCATACCCAGTGGGTAGTGGCAGGTCATGCCTGGCAGAGAGTGACAGGGGCACTTCTTTCTTGGTAGGGCAAGCAGTCTTTCTTGAATACTTCTCTCATACACAGGAAGCCCCAGGAGCTTCATTCCACAGGGTCTCATGCTGGGTACCAAGGGCCTGACCTGAGTTTGAGTAATTTTGAGGATAACAAAGAACATTCTCTTGCTTCAGATGTGGCTCTCAGCAGCTCTGCCTCCTGGGCTGGATCCCTCTGCCCAGCTGGGTTGCAGAGGGAATGCTATCTTCCCAAATCTTAAATGTGTAGGCTAGGTGGAGGAGAGGGGTGGCCTGTGGTTCCTGCTGAGGGAAAGTGAATGGAGGTACATTTTTGTGAGGCCACGTATATTGAAATGAAATATGAAGCCACAGATATTGAAATGAAAGCCAGCTGATGTCAGAGAGGAGCACCCTGGACCTACAGTTGGAGGTCTCCATGGCTCCAAGGCCATAGTAAGTTACACTTAATGGTATCTGAAGTTTACACTGGACCAAAGCCATGGTGAATTACACTTGACCATGGCAGGAAGCAGCAAAGAGAAGGGGGCCTGGGTGTCAAAGGAGAGTACCACACATTTTATACACCACTGAACAGTGGGAAATGCCTTTTGCTTGGTGTACACAGGAAGTGCCAGCCCAGGGCTAGATGTCACAGAAAACAGATGTTTGTGGAGAATGCTGCCATCCTCCATCAGATGATAAGCACTGGAATAATCCAGGATATATGTCCAAATTCAAGACAGAACAACCAGCCTTGGTAGAGGCCAGTGTGTCCACTGAGGTGACACTAGTTTTGATTTTACTCACTCTAATTTCCTATCTTCCCAAGATTTCTAGAATGACTGTTTCATTAGCTACTTCTCTCAGTGCCCCAATAGGAACAGTTTCAGGGAGGAACCGAATCAATCATGACCTTTGGTTCCTGGTTTGGGAGGGTGTAGTCCATCATGGCGACAGATCCATCTCATGATGACAGAAATGTACAGCTGTGACTTCTCACATCCCAGTAGACCAGGATTTCAGGTGGAGTTTCTCTGTGTCCTGGCAGCCGCTCCCAAATAAACACAGAGACTTGATATTAATCATAAATGTTTGGCCGACAGCTTAGGCTTGTCTGCAGTCAGCTCTTACAACTTAAATTAACCCATTTCTATTCATCTACGTGCTGCTTTAAGACTTGTTTACTTCATCTATGAAATTCCTATGTTGCTGCTTCCAAATCTGGCTTGAAACTCCTCAGACTCTGCCCGTCTTCTTCCCAGCATTCTCCCTGCCCTGAAAATCCTGCCTAGCTATTGGCTAATCAGCTTTTTATTAGCAATGAGAACAACACATTTTCACAGTGTACAGAAGGATTATTCCACAGCACAGGATGGAGAATCTGGGCTAAAAGTAAAACTGGCCCATAACCAGCCTCAGTCCCACAAATTTACAATGGCTCCATGTCCAAAAGTGTCCATAATCCCTAAATGCAGTACCACCAGCTGGGGACCAAGAGTTCAAGTGCATGAGCCTGTGGAGACCATTTCAGATTCAAATTGTAACAAATATGTGTGATTTTTAGATTACAAAATGTTTCTTTGAATGTCTGCTGGCCTGCAAAAGCATTTGCTGTTGGTGTGCACTGGTCCCTTCTGGTGCTGCCACCACAGCCTGGAAGTGTGGCCATTGGCCTAATATTCCCCCTTTGCTTGTTCCTGGCTAAGGTGGTGGCGCACAAACTCGGACTGTATCCAGAACTCTTGGGCTACTTTGGCCTTTTTCTCATCCGGTGTTTCCCGGAGGGCAAGATCTCTGGTAAGATGAAAAGGGGGACAAAGGGGATGGACAGGTATGATCAGGGGCTTGGCCCTGAGGTGTGTGAGGAACCCACAAAGGGACTGGCCACCCCCCAGGTCATGGTTTCTACTGTTCTCAGGCCCAGATCAAAGATTTGGAGAATGTGCCAGGCATGGTGGTGCTCACTGTTTATCCCAGCACTCAGAGGCAGAAGCAGACGGATCTCTGAGAGTTTAGGACAGCTTGGTCCTACATAATGAATTCCAGGACAGTCAGAGCTACAGTGAGACCCTGTCTTAAACAAACGAACAGACAGACAGAGATTTGGAAAATGGAAGATTGTGTCATTGCTCAGAGAGTGGGGACAAGCATTCCGTAGACAGGTAGTATGTCATTTCAACTTCACGGTATGGTGACATAATGCCTGACAGAAACAACGTAAGGAAGAATTATTTATTTTTCCCATGACAGGGAAAGCATGGAGGAATGAAAGTATTTAACTCAAGCTACAGGGGCAGAGCAGAGCAGTTCACATCATGACAGACAGGGGGCAGGGCAGAGCAGTTCACATCATGACAGACAGGGGGCAGGGCAGAGCAGTTCACATCATGACAGACAGGGGGCAGAGCAGAGCAGTTCACATCATGACAGACAGGGGGCAGGGCAGAGCAGTTCACATCATGACAGACAGGGGGCAGGGCAGAGCAGTTCACATCATGACAGACAGGGGGCAGAGCAGAGCAGTTCACATCATGACAGACAGGGGGCAGAGCAGTTCACATCATGACAGACAGGGGGCAGGGCAGAGCAGTTCACATCATGACAGACAGGGGGCAGGGCAGAGCAGTTCACATCACGGCCGACAGGGGGTAGAGTGCCAGAAACAGAGAAAAAGAGTAGGGAGAGAAAACAAAACGAAGGCACATGCCCAGGGGTCCACTTTCCCCAACTAGGCCGCTCTCTTACCCCCTTCCAATAATGCCGTTATATTATGAATCCAAGAAGGCATGAAGCCGTGCATTACGCCAGTCCCTCTGTGATGTAATTGTATCTGGAAACACACACACACACACACACACACACACACACACACGCACGCACGCACGCACGCACGCACGCACGCATTGAGAGAGAGAGAAGGAGAGGAATTGACCATCACAAGTGCTGTAGTCAAAACCTAACTCTAAGGCTGGTCCACTAACTGCACCTCCTCTGGTGTCTGCTGTGGTCTTAACCTTGGGGTCCCCTCATCGTCATTCCTGGCCATGCGAGGTGCTAGACTCTGTATCAAGACAGACACCCCACAAACACACAGCGCCTCCTTGTTACGGCATATTTGCTATGAAATGTGGATGGTATATGAGTGCTTAGATTCTTTTTAAAAATCCCAACCGTGAAAGAGGGCAGCTGTCTGGGACGTTTGCTTTCTCTCCACTGGATTCTAGATGACATGAGGCCTTTAAAGGTGTGAAATGCTATCAGTTACTTGAAAGCAGTGGGGAGGTGCTTTTGAGATGGAAATCAAAGGACTTGGGGAAGGCTGTACCCCAGAGGCTGTGAAGTCCTGGAGTGGTGCTGGCACCCCTGGACCTAGCTCTTCATCTGAACCCCAGGGTAAAATACCTTACTCAATGTGCTGGGACTTGATGAGAATTAAATAGTATTGACTTTTTTGGGATGACTTTCAGAAAGCTGAAAATACATACACATGCAAGAGAGTATTTTTGTTCCTTCCTACCCCCAATAATACTGCCTTGCCCTCTCATTTGAAAGCTGTTTGTAAACTGTGTATGCTGTTTCTACCAGGTAGGACCGCCTGTCATGAGCACACTATTCCAGAACCAGACAAACACCTTTGTTCTTTATCACAATGTCAGGTTTTGTGGAATGACAGACACTAAGTTCACAAGGAGCAGCAGTTTCAGTGGTAGCGATCTGCTGGGTTACCCTGCCTGCCTGGGTAACCTGGCAAAGGTAGCTTCCTGTGATCCTTATCTTAATTACTAATATTAATGCTCATATCATACATCACACAGAACATAGCTAATTAATCTCTGTGCATTTTCTATATGTGGTTTCCATAATGAGTACAAGTTAGAGAGAGCAAGGGAGTGCAGAGGTTGAAGAAATGGGTAACAGAAATGCCGTGGAGTCAGTGCTGCCAGGACAGAAACCCGAACCAGCTGAGGGAGGATGCTTCGCTGTGGACCAGGTCTCAGGAGCCAGGGTTGAGAGTAAGGATGTAGTTGGCTGCAGAGAAGGGATGGCAGAAGTGGACCCAGAGCAGAGACAGGAGGTCCAGGTGGAAATGGGCAAACAGGAGCACGTGGACAGACAGACAGCAGCCGAGGGGGCTCCATCAGCATCAGGACCGAGGCATGCTGAAGGCTTAGGGGCAGTTCTCTGGGAGTTCTTGCTGCACACACAGGGTATCAGAGGACAGGTTGGTGTGGGGCCATGACGTCAGAGCTAGGAGGGATCAGCCACTTTATGGGATCCAAGGGAAGGAGCTCCACCCTTTCCTTGGTGTGTTGTGTCTAATAAGTTTTGAAGCCTTGTTTCCCCAATATGATTTTAATATACCCATGTGCCCCCACAGCCTCAATTCATCCTGACAGGGCAGCCCCCCCTTGAAGAAATGTCATTTCTCAGTCTGTGCTGAGTGGGTGATGCAAGACACATGGTGGTGTCATCGTCAGCCCTCAAAATGAAGCAAACAGCGAAACAACAAACAAACAAAACAAGCAAAAGCTGTAAAATGGAGTTTCTAGGGCGAGGCACAGGCCGAAAAGAACAGTTTTACGCGATGTGGGGTAACTCACAGGGCAGAGCCTGACCCGCCTCCACGCTGCCTTTCCCCATCTAGTTGTGAAGAAGCTGGCTGACTTTGAGCTGCCGTCCACTAGTCTTCAGAGTTCTGAGCTGGAAGGCTGTAAGATAGGACTCAGAAAGTGGTGAGTACTGGTGAGAGAAGCCACTGTGTGAGAACCTGTCGGTCTCACCGGCTGGAGAGACAGGTGGGGTAGAGTGGACTGAAACAGATCATGGCCAGGAGCTGATGGCCACGGCTTTGCTGAGGATGGATGATGAGAAACTGTAGAAACTGAAGGATTTGTTGACAATTACAAGCACATCTGATGTCTGTGGATCTGTGATATTCCTGGAATATCACAGGGGACACTCAGCCGGTTTGCACTGAATTTGACCCCTGAAGCATTCAGCTCACATTCCCAAAGGGTACGCGCCAGGGCCACCACATTTAATTCCTAGATTAAAAGGACACAAGTGTCTCTGCAGAAAACACTCTTATTTTCTTGGGAAACAGAAGTCCTACTGAGAACAAATGAACAGAAAATCACAATGAAAGGCTTTCCCAACCCTGTCCTACAGCCTGGGACCCCAGCCTTTATTACCATGACTATGTTGAATTGCTACTCAAGTTGGCTCTGTCCAGCTCAGTTACTCTCTAATCTGAGGATACAAACTTTAAAAAAAAAAAAAGGCATCTTGAAATCTAGAGATAGAGATTTACTTGATCAATGTTATCTTGCTGGGTCTAGCTTGTGGCTTTGAATTTTGAAGGGATAGCCCCAGCTATTTAGAAACTCTTGAGAAGTCACTAAAACCGTGTGGTTTGGATATTGGAGAAAGGGAAAGGACTTTGCTTCCATTTAAGGGTTTAGACTATTGTGGAGCTGCTTCCAATACTGTACATCTGAGCGTGGCTGTTCCTGGAATCAGAGGGCACGCGCTAAGTCCCAGCTTGCCACACTTGCAGCCAAGTTATTTGAGCTCCTTAAGCCTCAGTTTACATATTTGTAAAATGGAAAATAATCCTCTGAGGATTTCTGTCAAGATTAAAGCAGTCCCACATACTCAATAAATGCTGCTCAAGTTTGTTATTGCCACATTGATAAGAAAATTAACAGCCGCAATAACAGAAAATCCCTGGGCTTAGACTCCTCAAGCTCACACACTTGCCTGAGAAGTGGACATCAAAGGAGGGTGAGAATCCTTCCCCTCACCTAGAAGCCCGAGTTAGACATTGGGCTGTGCCTAAGTCTTCCTCACACAGGCACATCCTAGATGGCCAGATGCAGAGGAAAGTCCGCCATGTCACCAGCCAGCACCGCATCCAGCAGACTGCTTCTGCTCGTGAATACGAGGAAAAGAGGCACAGTGCTGTGGCTGGAGCTGAGGGTCAGAGTTCTGCAAGGGGACAACATGATTAACACCTTGGGGAGTCCAGACCTCTCTCCAGAGGAGGCCTTTCCAGGGCAACAGGGAGGCCAGCTCCAACCGCTGCTTGATTCCGATGGGTGGGGCTCTGCGGAAGGACCTAGCTGGAGTTTTAAGGATTTGTCTTCATCCAGGACTTCTCTGAGCACATCTCTCTGGTGATGATACGGTTCCTTCTAGACCAGAGGGTGTTGGCAGCTCAGAGCCCGAGCCTGGAATGTATCTCCGGGTTGTCCAGCTGTGATGCAGTTCTCAGGCACTCAGGGCCTTCGGAGGAGTGTGGACATGTAGCTGAAGGGGAAGTTGGTTGGAATGTTTCAGTTGCTTCTCTCCGCCAGTATGAGCTTGACCTTCAAACCCCACTTTCATCCTTTCACGGTCTGGCCCAGCTCTCTGTGGTCACGCGAGGCTCTGAACGTGGTGAGCTGCTTGGCTCTGTCTTCTGGTGAGTTGTACGCCACCCATATCTCTGCTTGGCATTTCTGTCCATTCTCAGAGTGCCACTGTACTTACAACGAACCTCTGTTTATCTGGTGTTTCTCATCTGACAGATAGACATGGATCCCCTGACACTTACAAGTCACTCTGCTGAGACCCAGAAGGGCATCTCTAGGCTTAGGGCTGGAGTCTTCACATCCGGTGTCAAAACAAGTTGATCAAAGCCATGGTTGTGATAAATTCAGGATGCTGACCAAGCACAGAGGGGGGGTGCTAGCCAGGCTGGGGAGCAGGGCCCAGAGAAGGGGGGTGCTGCTGCTGCTGCAGAGCAGGCTTTCAGAGAAAAGAGAAGTCAGGGAAGGAGGCGCTTGAGGCAGTGGCCGTGTAAGCAAGATGGGGAGGAGAAGAAGGGGAGAGAAAGCGTGGCTGGAGTGTAGAGTTGGTGTGGGGATGGTAAGGGACAGACAGAAGGGACATGAAAGGAGAGGTGTACCACCCAGTGCCTCAGATGTGAGCGGGAAAATGATCCAGTTCCTACGACCCCAAGACGTCACACCAGGAGGAAGGAGCAGAAAGCCTGGCTTGGGGCAGTTTCTGAGCTGCTCCAGAGGCAGGAGAGGGTGGCCAGGTGCCTGGTGGCGAGCGTGGAAGGGGCGTGTGTGGGGCAAGTGGCCAGGGCAGGTGTTATGCCGTGGGGAATGGACTGCAGGACTTGGTGGCCGAGATAGGGACTAAGTGTGACAGGAATGCACACCATTAAAGCGCGCTCTCTCTCTCTCTCTCCTTGTCTTTCTCTGCCTCTGTCTCTCTGTCTCTGTCTCTCTCTGTCTGTGTGTGTGTGTGTGTGTGTGTGTGTGTGTGTGTGTGTGCGTGTGTGTGTGCATGTGACACCTTGACTCTAGAGCGTACCAGGTAAAAACTCACAATATAGAGATAATAAGACAAGAACACAGAAGGAATACAGGCATAAATCAAAGGCTGGGCAAGTATAACGGCATATATAGTTTATGAGAGAAGGGACCCAGCTCCTGGGGTGGAGGACCCTTGCTTCCCAGAACACCTGTCCCTGGATAGGTCCCTAGACATGTCACCCAGGATCATGTAATTGTACAGGTACCTGGACCCGGCCCTGGACTCTCTTCTGATGGACTGCAGAGCAGCTGGAGACCTGCTGTACATGCAGGTGAGGTCGGCATTGGCCGCTGGGGTTGGGACGGTACACCTTTCCCTAGTGTTGAGAATCTACATAGAACAGGCAATTCACAGAGACGCTCTAAGTGGACGTTCCCAGGGACTGGGGGGGAGGGGGTTGAAAGGACAGCCATTATTTAATTTAATGGGTGGACAATGTTTTGTTGTGGTCACTGTTACTTTGGTTTGTTTGTATTGCTTGGAATACAGCCTTACTATGGAGCCTAGGGTGGCCTTGAACTCATGATTCATCTGCCTCACGAGTTCCTCTTCTCTCCTCCGGTTTGGAGTCTTTGTTGGGAACTATGAAAGGTTTTGGTGTATACACTGGTAACGATTGTACGACATTAAATGCATGTCAATCCACTTAGTTGTACACTTAAGGACAGGTAGAGCAGGGGCTGCAGAGGCGGCTCAGGGGTCAAGAGCACTCGCTGCAGCCAGGCGGTGGTGGGGCACACCTTTAATCCCAGCACTCGGGAGGCAGAGCCAGGCGGATCTCTGTGAGTTCGAGGCCAGCCTGGGCTACAGAGTGAGCTCCAGGAAAGGCGCAAAGCTACATGGAGAAACCTTGTCTTGAAAAACCAAACAAACAAAAAAAGAGCACTCGCGGCTCCTGCAGAGGGGTCAGGTTGCTCCCAGCACTCACGTGGTGGCTCACAACTCCATTTTCGGGAATTTGAAACTCTCTTTTGTTCACTACAGGCACCAGGCACACACACGATGTACATACACACATCATACATACATACATACACACATCATACATACATACATACACACATCATACATACATACATACACACATCATACATACATACACACATCATACATACATACACACATCATACATACATACACACATCATACATACATACTACATCATACATACATACTGCATCATACATACATACATACATACATCATACATACATACACACATCATACATACATACACACATCATACATACATACACACATCATACATACATACTACATCATACATACATACTACATCATACATACATACACACATATACACATCATACATACATACTACATCATACATACATACACACATCATACATACATACACACATCATACATAACATACACACATCATACATACATACACACATCATACATACATACATACCTAGAGACACACACGTTTATTTATTTTCATTTTATGTGCATTGGTGTTTTGCCTGCATGTATGTCTGTGTGAGGGTTTCAGGTCCCCTGGAACTGGAGTCACAGACAGTTGTGGGTGCTGGGAATTGAACCCTGATCCTCTAAGAGCAGCCAGTGTTCTTAACTGCTGAGCCATCTCTCTAGCCCAAGACCCGTTTTGTTTGTTTGTTTTTTGTTTTTTGAAACAGGGGTTCTCTGTGTAGCCCTGGCTGTCCTCAGCTCACTCTGTACACCAGGCTGGTCTTGAAGTCAGAGATTCTCCTGCCTCTGTGTCCCGGGTGCTGGAATGGACGGCGTGCGCCACCACCGCCTGGCTCCACTTTTTTTTTTTAAGTTGGAGTCTGTTACTATACTCGTTTATAACTTAGTATTCTTACCATGTATAAATAGCATGTCACTTTTACTCGTGTTGTTAATTGTCCTAGATAATTCTGAAAGCTAGCATAACCAAACATTTGATTATACACCAACTCAGTCTCCTATTTTGGGGTATTTCACAATGCACTACCTCACAGGGCAGGGATGGACTTGAAAGTATAAGAATATTGCCTGACACATAGTCAGTACTCCACAGCCATCTTTCAGTGCCCACGGAAGATGGTACCATCTCTCCAACAGATGCTACCAAACTCCAGGGATGTTCAAGACCCTTCTATAAAATGGGGTAGCATTCCCACATAAATCACACACCATCTCCTGTGGACTTTAAACCTTTAGATTACTTACAACACTGAGTTCAATGACAATGTCCAACAGGTAGTTGTTGGATGCATTGTTTGGGGAACAATGGTGAGAAATGTATCTGTGCTTTGATCCTGAGAATCGTCACCACAGTACATTTAATCCAGGGATAGGGAACCCACAGATTCAGAGCGCAGGCTTTGTGTGCATTTGCTACTGGTCATAAATTAAATCATCTTATTTTTATGTGCAATAGCAGTAATAGCCTTGTCTACATACTCCCCCTCCCCTTTTTTTTAAATTTTAAAGACAGGGTCTCACTATATAGCTTTGGCTGTCCTGGAAGGTGCTCTGTAGACAGACTGGCCTCGAACTCACAGAGATCCTCCTGCCTCTGCCTCCTGAGTGCTGGGGTTAAAGTCATGCATTATTCTGTTTGGCTCCTTAGGTTTATGATTCTTATATGTGGTTTTAGATTTATATTGTCAAGTTACCTCTAGAAAATCATATGAATTAAATCTATTGCACATCACACTGTTTCTCTAAACCCTAGTCAACTCTTATTGTGTATTGTTTTAGCCATATCAAGTTAAAAGGCAAAAACTCTGATTACTAGTGAGGCTGTGTACATATATGTATTTGCTGTTTGGAAATCCTTTTGATCAACTGTCAGTCTTGATCTGCGGCCCATTTTTGATGGTTTTACATGTGTCCTACTGTTTGTAAATGTTAACCCTTTACCTGGTTTAGCACTTGCTTTTTTTAGTTTTGTTTCTGGTGTTTTGTGTACAGAAATTTGTACTTACATATAATTACATATGATTATTTCTGCATTCTGCCATCATATCTTTAAAAGATTGTCCTTCCATCAAGATAAACATATTCATTTTAAATTTTCTACTTTAAAAAAGATTCATTTCTTAAAAATCATACGTGTACATATCCATGTGTGGGTTTGTGCATGGAAGTGCAGGTGCCTGTGATGGCCAGAGGTGTGGGACCCCCTGGAGCTGGTGTCCCAGGTGCCTGTGCACCATCTCACACAGGTGATAGGAACAAACTCTGGTCCTCTAAAGAGCAGCATATGCTCTTACAGCAGAGCCATCTCCCCGACCCCCTTCTCTGCCTTTTAATGGAGTTTATACTTTAATCTCTTGGGCAGTTATTTGACTGGATGATATTGAAGTTACTTTGACTTTCTTCGCCAAGTACTCTAATTGTCCCAAACTGTAGGACAATCTTTTCCTACTTGCTCATTTAATTGGCCAGTTGTGCTGGTGCATTCTGGTAATCCAGGCACTTGGGAAGATGAGGCAAGAGGATCATGAGTTTGAGGCCAGCCTGACCTACATAAAGAGTGCTCAATATTAAGACCTGTCCCAGGGCTGAAGAGATGGCTCAGTGGTTAAGAGCACTGACTGCTCTTCCAGAGGACCTGGATTCAATTCCCAGCATGCAGATGGCAGCTCATAACTGTCTGTAACTCCAGTTCCAGGCGATAGAGCTAACATCTTAACACGGACATACATGCAGGCAAAACACCAATGCACATGAAATAAAAGTAAATTTTTAAAAAGACCCTGTCTCAAAACAACAAAAAAAATTAATCTTTATAATCTGTCAAATCATTGTGTAGATCCATTTGGATCAGGTTTTTAGCCTTTTATACAGATCAATTCATTTCTATAAGGTTGTTAATTATATCATTATGTTGTTTCAAGGCAGTACAGGACATTGAAATAGAATGGGTGAAACCCACACAGGCTCAGAGGGAGGAACTAAAGGCACTCCAGGAGAAAGAGAATCAAACAAAGGTGAGCTAAGCCTTGTACCAAGAAGTGCCCCTTGGAAGCGAGCTCCCGCACACATTAGGATCCAGCTGTCGCCATCATTCACAAACCTACCCAGCACTAAAAATGAGAGTGCCTCCACCGATCTTCTGATTCTATAATTAGTAAAAGTTTATTGTGTAAGGATGATAAAAATATAGTATATTGAGTCTTTGGCCAGGTTAATATAGATCCTCCCCATTATTATACAACTGTAGAGCAGTCTCCTTCATGATTCTGTTATCATTTGACCAGCCAGTTTCCTCTAACTGGCAGTCAAGTTGTTAGCAGCTTTTGCTGCTATGAATCACTTTGGCAGCAAATCCCAAGAGGCCCAGGGCTGCGCCTAATTTACACTCCTCACCCTACTCCTGTGTGCACTTCCGGTGATGGCTAGCACAGTTAACCTTGTGCTCACGTGCAAGGAGACTGAACTGAAGATGAATGAAATGACTCAAAACAATTTGATACAAATCAGAGATGAGCTAACTATGACTCACAGTCCACTGTTCTTATAAATAAAGTTTTATCGGCACACAACGGCACTTTTTCATTTATGCGTGTCTGAAGTCATTTTTGCGCTACAATGAAAGAGGTATGAAGTTGCTATAGAGACAGTGGGCTCCCTAATGCTGTACTGGAGACCACATCCAGGACCTTACGTGTGCTAGACAAGTGTGCACACTGAGCCACAAGCCCCAGCCTCTATTATACGTTTCTTTACAGACGAGTTTGTGAATCTCTAGATGAAAATAAGGAAACACACCACTCGTGGCTATATGCATCGAGTTGACTTTTTAAAGTAGTTTGTTTTTATTTGTGTGTGTGTGCATGTGTGCGTGCGTGTGAGTATGCATCAGATTCCTTGGAGCTGGAGTTAAATAGTTGTGGGCTTCTTGATGTGGGTGATGGGAACTAAACTCCTATCCCCCTCTGTAACAACAGCAAGTGTTTTTTATTTTTTATTTTTTTTGAGACAGGGTTTCTCTGTAAAGTTGTGGTGCCTGTCCTGGATCTCACTCTGTACCCCAGGCTGGCCTTGAACTCACAGAGATCCACCTGGCTCTGCCTCCCGAGTGCTGGGATTAAAGGTGTGTGCCGCCCCCGCCGGTGCCCAGCTAGGGTAGCAAGTGTTCTTAACCACTGAGCATCTCTCTGGCCCCAGGTATAACAGTCTTAAAAGAATGGAATTTTCAAGTGTATAATCCTTAAGATTTCTGCCCTCTGGTTTCTATGAGTTAGTACCTCCTTGTGAATGGCCAATGCCAACAAGCATTTTGAGTTATTTTGTTAATTCATTAGCTGTTTTGCAACATGTAGCATTACTTTTAATTAAATACTTTCACTTCCTTTAATCCACAACAGCTAAAAGTTTATTGAATTTTGGCCGGGCGGTGGTGGCGCACGCCTTTAATCCCAGCACTCGGGAGGCAGAGCCAGGCGGATCTCTGTGAGTTCGAGGCCAGCCTGGACTACCAAGTGAGTTCCAGGAAAGGCGCAAAGCTACACAGAGAAACCCTGTCTCGAAAAACCAAAAAAAAAAAAAAAAAGTTTATTGAATTTTTAATAGGTTTTCCTTCCTTCTTCCCTCTTTTCCTTCGGTGCTGGGGATTGAACCCAGGCCTCATACACACGGGCAAGGGCTCTGCCTCTAAACCACCCCAGCCCTTATTTCAAATTTAAAAAGAGGGACAGAGTTGTGCTGGAAGGTGGCTTGGCGGGTGAGAGAACTTGCTGCTCTTGCAGAAGGCCCAGGTTTGGTCCTCAGCGTGAAGGGTCCAGCAATAGGAAGAGAGGAATATAAGAATAAGATAGAAATACAGAAATGAGATAGGAATACAAGAATAAAAAATGTTGTGAGCTTGAGAGATAGAAGCCGACAGCCATCAGCTTCGCCAGCAAATGGGGATTACCCTTTAACTGGGCCCTTCCGTGTTTTACGATGGGCACCTCTGCCAGCAACCCTGACAAGCACTTCCACGCTGGTCCACCACATCCATAGCTCCCCCAGGAGATCTGAAGTCTTCCTCTGCTGACCCCCACGGCACACACACGGCACACAAACATGCACGCAGGCAAAGCACTTCGGAGACAGTCACAGCTGCTCTTTCGTTCCTTACCTGAGTGTGCTGCTTCCAAGCTCTGAAGAGGAGCAGGAGCAGGGCCAGAGTGGAGCAGAGGCAGGACCAAGAGCCTCATTTCTATGCTCCAGAGGAAAGGGGCTTGTTGTGAGCCCACCCTGTGGGTTTCACCAGCACAGCAGTAGCATAACCCCCCACTTCCCTCATCCACCTCCTTCCCCCACCCCTCCCCCACCACTGTGAGCTCTGCATCTGAGGAAAGTGGTCTCTTGCTTCCTTCCACTCCACCCCACCTTGGAGCAGTTTCTGGAGCTGTCCCAGGAGGTCCGGCACTATGGGTACATTCAGCTGGATCCCTGCACCTGCAACCACCCGGAACCTGGCTGTGGGGCTGTCCTTTCCATCGGCAACAACGAGATCAGCTGCTGTGTGACCCTGCCTGACGGCCAGACCCGGGACATTGCTTTCCAGATGAGCGCAGTGAAGTGCTGGCAGGTCACCTTCCTCGTGAGTATCTGGCACCTGCTTTGTCTGTCCTGTGAAGGTTTCCTCAGGTGTGTTCCATCTAGTCTCAGGGACTCACACCACATTCGCATGGATCCCCCATGGTGATCTGCCCACAGACTCTCACCCCAGCTTCCTACTGCTCCCTCTTACCTCAGCAGGTCTCTGTCTTCTTTGGGGTTCTCCCGCCCTGGGCATATCTAGAAACTCCTCTAGGGGTGGAGTAATTTGTAGGGCTTATTCTCTTTCTCTGCAGCAGTATCTGAAAACAGCTATTGTTTATCATCTGAAAACAGCTATTGTCCGGTTAGCTCTTCATACAGATGCTGTGAGACTAATATTTCTAGGATATAAATCAAACCGCATTATCATCTAGCTTTGCCATATCTCTTAAGGAATGCCCATTGTCTGTGGGATGAAGTCTGGAATCCTCAGCTTTATTGACAGTCATGAGTGTCAAGCTCCTTGTTAGTTAGCACTAGACACCTGTACATCCAATCCTGGTCAAGCAGAGGACCTGCTGGAAGGGTCAGTGTTGATTACTCACATGTCCAAAGGAAGAGGGAAGCAGAGGTTTAAAGTCAGAACCAAAGAGCTTGGGGTTTCCAGGCAATGGGGACTTGGTGGGGTCTTCTCGGGCATCTCAATTCTGGAGTCAAATGAGAACACGTGGAATATTTGTCTAGCTGACCTGAGCTTGGCCATGTGCCTTTCTCTGACGTCATTCCCTGAGGGGTCTCCACAGCCTACAGAGGAAGAGGCGGCTTTCCTAGGGGAGTTCAGTCTCCATTACTAGGAGAATGGGTAGATGCTGTACACACAACCCGCAGCCTTCAGAATCCCCCTCTAGCCTGACTCTCTGGGCCCCCTCACGCCCTGTCCCTCATGTGTTTCCAACCTCCAGCCTCCTCATGCCTCAGGGGTTTGCCCTCACTCTATTCTGCTGGGAACCACCACTCACCTTCCCTTCTCACAAAAGAAGGGAAGCTTCCTCTTCTGCTCACATGCCCCTCCTTCCAGGAAGTCTTCCTTTACCCTCCTAGCCTGGGCTACAGTCCTGCTTCCTCCTGCAGAGCTGTTCTTGCCTCCTCTCTCCACTTCCTGTATCTACTGCGCTCATTTACCTCCACGGCTCCCTGGGAGACCGACAGCTGTTGTGGGATGGTCTGTATGTCAAGTGTGTTGCTGATTGGTCAATAAATAAATCACTGATTGGCCAGTGGCCAGGCAGGAAGTATAGGCGGGACAAGGAGGAGAATAAAGCTGGGAAGTGGAAGGCTGAGTGAGGGAGACACTGCCAGCCGCCATGATGAGAAACAGCATGTGAAGATGCCGGTAAGCCACGAGCCACGTGGCAAGGTATAGATTAATGGAAATGGATTAATTTAAGCTGTAAGAACAGTTAGCAAGAAGCCTGCCACGGCCATACAGTTTGTAACCAGTATAAGTCTCTGTGTTTACTTGGTCGGGTCTGAGTGGCTGTGGGACTGGCAGGTGAGAGAGATTTGTCCTGACTGTGGGCCAGGCAGGAAAACTCTAGCTACAGACAGCCTTTGGGGGAATTGTTGCCTTCTTGATATCAAGCCCAGGATATTCAAAGGCACTCTGATGATCTCTCTTCCTCTGCAGGGAACTCTGCTGGATACAGACGGGCCCCAGCGAACTCTCAACCAGAACTTAGAGCTGAGATTTCAGTACAGTGAAGATAGTCGCCAGCCATGGTTTGTTGTTTACAGCAAACAGGTGAGTTCTCGGGACAGAGAGTGAAAGCCATGGAAGCCTTCGGTGCTGAAGTGCTGACCTGCTGGCTGACAGGAACAAAGCACAGCCAGAGGGTGTCCTTCACCGGCATTGGCATTGGCCTGAAATACTTTGTTTTTATTTTGCTTTATTTTCCTGGTCACCATGGTCATGAATTCAAAGAATTTAGTTAATGTGGTAGCCAGCTCTGAGTTGAAATAAAGAATTCAAAAAAGGTTTCTTTCAGCTCTCAATTCCCGAGGCTTCAGACTGTGATCACCTGGCCCCATCACCAGGGGACCCGACGCCCTCTCTGGCCTTTGAGGGCATCAGCAGGCAGGCCAAAGCTCATTACATAAATACAAATAATAACTCTTAAAAATAGGTAAATAATTAGCTCCAGGTGTTTTAAATTCTAGTAAAAATATCAAGGTAAAGTTTACATTGATGATGGATTCAACTTGAGTCCTGCTTAGTTCCACAGAGAATTTTGGTTTCTGATCACCAAAGCCTGCCTCTAGTACAGATGTGGTCATGATGTCTGTCCTCTTAAAAAACAAAACAAAACAACAACAACAACAAAACCACAATCCTAAGTGAAAGAATGGTCCTTAGGCTTCCTAGTTAGTGTTATTGCTGTGATGAAACATCTGACCAAAAGCAGCTGTAGAGGAAGGCTTTTTTTGGCTTACACTTCCATACCACTGTTCATCATTGAAGAACATTGGGACAGGAACTCAAACAGGCCATGGAGGAGTGCTGCTCAATGGCTTGCTCTTACGGCTTGCTCAGCTGCTTTCTCATAGAACCCAGGACCAGCAGCCCAGGGATGGCACCACACACAATGGGCTGGACCCATCCCCCATCAATCACTAATTAAGAAAATGCGCCACAGCCTTGTCCCATCTTAAGCTTTTCTCCACTGAGGCCCCCTCCTCGCTGATGACTGCAGCTTGTGTCAAGTTGACATAAAACTGCCCAGCACAGCAGGTCTCCTTCAGTATGAAGCGTCCTCAGGGGGATGGCAGAAAGTTTTGTACAATTTGCAGGTAGTCAGGAAGACGGAGACTCGAAACCTCCTTCCCTCACACTCTCAGGACGCTGTGCAGTTAAATGTGCTCCAATCTTTCCATCTAAGCAGCAGCAGGTGAGTTAAAGCCGCCACAGAGAGGAGCAGTAGCCATTTTTAAAGCATTTCTAGTAAGATCTTACTTCCTTTGGAGGATGAACTGTGTTGGCGGATACCCAAGGGCTGCTTTTACAAAAGGCAGAAACGTGACTGCCTGCCTTCCAGATACAGATGAGAGATGGAGCGCAAACTCCTTTAAATAGAAGTTCAGGATTTTTATTTTTTATCTAGCAAGCCTGATCTAGTTGCTGGTGATCCTGGCTTACACACCTGTGTGCATGGGAGAGGAAAACAGTGGAACTGGTTCATATCTTAAGGAGCACCATTTAAACATCCAAGCAGTGGTATCAGCTCAGGGTTTTATTGCTTTAACTCATATCTCAATTTTGCAAGTTACATCTATGTGCAGATGCACATGTGTGGGCTGGTTATTACAAATTAGGCTTGTCCACACCACAGAGGTTACGCTGCTTCTTCTCTCTTCCCTCCTCCTACCCCTGGGGGAGATTTCATTCTTCTTTTGTTCTGTAGCCATGCAAGATGTTGGTCATGGTCACCCACTTCCCTCTAATTCTGCTGTCTGTGGGACCCTCTGAAAGCCCTTGGCCATCACTGCAGCCTGGTTGTCTCTTTCTCTCCATCATCTGTTCCAGCAAAATGTCCAGCGCTGAACTCAAGGCAGGAGTGATGTCTAGGAGCCTGTGGTGGTTCGAAAGAAAATGGCCCTCAAAGGGAGTGGCATTATTAAGAGGTGTGGCCCCGCTGGAGAAAGTGTGTCACTGTGGGGGTGGGCTTTGAGGTCTCTTTTGCTCCAGCTTCTTCCAGTGTGACACTCAGTTCACTTTCTGTTGCCTTCTGATCAAGAAGTAGCCAGCACCATGTCTGCCTGCACGCCGCCGTGCTCCCCACCATGATGATAATGGGGGAGCTGTGAGGCGGCCCCAATTAAATGTTTTCCTTATAAGAGTTGCCGAGGTCAGGGTGTCTCTTCACAGCATAGAAACCCTAACTAAGACAGAGCTGTAGACTTTGACTTTGGTGCCTCAAAACTTCATAAAGCCAAACAAGATTTTAAAAAAGAACAATTTGAAGAGAAGGGATGTGTGGGAAAGGACTGTGTGGGGATCACAAGGGACCTTCCATCTGCCACACAAGGTACAGCAAAAAGGAGACACACACCGTGCCCATTGGGGCCCTGACACCCTCGCTTCCCTGTGAGATACACACCGTGCCCACTGGGGCCCTGACACCCTCGCTTCCCTATGAGATACACACCGTGCCCATTGGGGCCCTGACATTGATGACCAAGCCACAGAGGAGGCTGTGGTAGTTACCTGTCTGCAGGTGAGGGCTAAAGATCCTGGAGAAACAGAGCGAAGATTGATGAGTTTCGAGGGTGTGAAAGGAGGAGAACTGGCCCCGCCCCTTGCTCATTGCTGTGAGGGGTGAACTAGCCAGAGCAATGCTGGAGAGTTCACCATGGCGGTGAGGACAGGGGAGAGCTGGCGGGCTGACCAACTCTGCAACTACCCAGGCCTAGAACCAGGGTTATGAGTTGGCCAACCCCAATATCCACCCCCATGTGTGATCTGCTGGAGCACACAAAGGGGCCTGTCCTGCAGACTCAAAGCTGTAGGATCTCCACGACACAGGGCAACAAGAGGATATCCAGGAGGAGTCCCAGTGAGGGCCCAGTGTAGAGAGTGTAGCAGAAACCAGAGGCCTCGACCCAGACCAGTGACTCTGCAATGAACGCTTGCAAGTAAAGATAGATGGACAAAAGGGTTTACTGCGTGACTCACTGTGTCACACTGCAGCTTCCATGAGATTTTTTTCCCTCTTAAATTTTATTTTATTTTATTGGGGGGGAGGTTGTAAGGGCAGAGGGTAGATACAAAGGGATGGGGAAATGAATGGGATCGAGATGCATGATGTGAAAGACACAACGAATAAATAAAAAGAAAGTTTAAAAAGATTTCAGTAAGCCAGGCATGGTGGCACATGCACTCAGGAGGAAGAGACAGGTAGATCTCTGAGTTCAAGGCCAGTCTGGTCTACAGAGTTCCAGACTACACAGGGCTACCCAGAGAAACCTTGTCTTGAAAACAAAACAAAATAAACACAAAGCAAAAGTTTTAATATCTTCATCCAAATAGACAAGTTAGTACCTATGCCTAATGATGGGTCTCTCAATAATTATTACACCATTAAATTTATTTATTTGATGACTATTGTAAATAGTTTGTTGCTTATGAAACAGAAGCATCTCATAGCCTAGCAGAAACATGGACTAGAAGAGGGGATTAAGAGAGGAATGGTTAGGAATGAGATTCTGGCCTATTTATTGGCTGTCTTTAAAATGGACTGTCACTACATTCTTGTAATTGAGAAAACTTACGTTTGCCTGCTAATTGCATTTTAAGCCAATTTCTGAAAGTTAAAGACAACATTCTTTAAAACGTGCTGGTGAGTTTTAGCCTCCGTTAGGCAGTGGGAGATGGAGAATGAGGACCTCCAGCTGAGGGAGGGTTTTGTTGTTTTAAAGATTTGTTTATTATTTTTATATGTATGGATGTTTCATCTGCACATGACTGTGTAATGTGTACATGCAGTGTCCAAGGAGGCCAAAAGAGGGCGTCAGATCCTCTGGAACTGGAGATACAGGAAGTTGTTAGTCACCATGTGGGTGCTGAGATTCAAACTTGAGTCCTCAGGACGAGCAGCCAGTACTCTGAGCTGCTGAGCCATCTTTCTTACGCCACATTTTTATTTGTTTGTTTGAAACTCATGATGAAGCCCTGACTGGCCTGGAACCCGCTACACCAGGCTGGCCTCAAACTTGCAGAAATCCTCCTGTCTCTGCCTCCCAAGTGCTGGGATCAAAGGCAAGCACCACCATACCTGTCCTAAGAACAATCTTTATTTCCGGTTTCTTAGGCTTTTTTCCTGAGTAGCTGCCTGAAGAAGATGATCTCAGAGAAGATGACGAAGCTCTCTGAGGAGAATCCAGAAATGGTAAGAACTCTGAGATGTTGCCATGTGTGCTAACACATGAAGCCCAGGGTTGTGGATCTTGTTCTCTAGGGAGGCAGCCACAGCTCACAGTGAGCATCAGACCGTGTTACCGGAGTTGTTAGGGGAGAGCCTGGGTCCTGGCAGCTCTTACAGACTAGCTGGGCCACTTTAAATAGACAGCAGTAGTGAAAAGCAGGGAGAGGAGAGTTATTCCACCCTGTAGAGCAGGCCTGAAATCCAATCAGAAAGCAGTCAGTTACCCCATAACCTCACATCACTATTGTACCAGTGGACGCAAGGTCCATTCTATAGCAAGCAAGGCCCACTTCTGGGTATGTCCACTGACAGCTTTTCTTCCTCAGTGGCCTCCGTAGCCCCTCCTGACACCCTGGAAGGTACCCAGTGGGGAGGAAGTTTTGAGGCCAGTTCCAGGTTGATTTCTCTATGTCCTGCAACCAAAGTGTGTTGAGTCTTTAGCAATAGGGTCATACCATCTATGTATGGTGAACGTCAGGGGCAATGGCAATACCCTATGCTGTTTTGGGTGCTCTGCGGCCCATCTAGCTGACCACGTAGGAGGCATGCACTTCTCACAATGAGATTTTCATGTAATATGTTACCCACATCTTCCAGGGGAAGCCTTGTCCATTCATGCAGGATCCTTCCACTCAAATGCAATTTCTTCTTTGAATTACATATTTTTAATTAGCTTAAAAAGTTGTGAATTTTGGCCAGGCAATGATGGCACACGCCTTTAATCCCAGCACTCAGGAGGCACAGGCAGGTGATTCTCTATGAGTTCAAGGCCAGCCTAGTCTACAGAGTGAGTTCTAGGACAGCCAAGGCTACACAAAGAAGTCCTGTCTCAAACAAACAGTTGTGAGTTTCATAAAGCTTTTTCACACTTCCTTCATTTTTCTTAATCCACCCAGTCCGCTCCCGAGTCCTGGCTTGCACCTTTCTTTAGTCCTGGTATCCGTGTCACGTTGTTCTACTGTGCCCTCCCCTTCAGACCTCTTTCCCTCTCCATCTTGTGTTGAAGTCAGGGTTTTGAGAGGCTCTTAACACAGCAGGAATGACCTTCAACAGTCTCCAGAGTTTTCTCCAGAAGGAAGCCACAGCCCCTGACACCTCCTGTCCACCAAGTAGGAAGCCACAGCCCCTGACACCTCCTGTCCACCAAGTAGGAAGCCACAGCCCCTGACACCTCCTGTCCACCAAGTAGGAAGCCACAGCCCCTGACATTTCCTGTCTACCAAGTAGGAAGCCACAGCCCCTGACACTTCCTGTCTACCCAGTAGGAAGCCACAGCCCCTGACACTTCCTGTCTACCCAGTAGGAAGCTCTTGACATTTCCTGTCCACCAAGTAAGAAGCCAGAGCCCCTGACACTTCCTGTCTACCAAGTAAGAAGCTCTTGACATTTCCTGTCCACCAAGTAGGAAGCCACAAAGGAAAAGAAACTCTCAGGGCATTTTTTTCCCTCCCAATTAACTTTATTTTCCTGATCTGCCTACTTCCATCGAAGGCCTAGTAACCTAGAAAAGCTTGGTGCATATGCTGTAAAACAAAATAAGAGCAAATTTGTGATTCTAGACTTTTCTGATTATCTTACATTACTATATAACCATGTTCCAAATAAGATAGGACAGGTTGATGGACCTTCGTGTTGGTAAATTTAATATTTTTACAGACGGTTACATTGATCCTTTTAAAATGATTTATTTGTTTTATTTTATGTATGTGAGTGTTTTGCATGTATATGTGTGTGTGTGTGTGTGTGTGTGTGTGTGTGTGTGTGTGTGTGTGTGTGTGTGTACCATGTGGCTGCCTGGTGCCCACTGAGGCCAAAACAGGTCATCGAATCCTATGGAACTGGAGTTACCAATGTTTTTGAGCTACTCCAGTCCTCTGCAAGAGCAATAAGTGCTTTTAACTACTGAGCTATCTCAGGCCCACACATTCATCTTTAAAACTACAACAAAAAACATTGGAACACTTTCCCTAATGTTTTCATTTAGACTTAGTTCTTTAGAAGTGGGTGGTGACATCTTCACTTTAGCATGAACAGTTACACCCCCCTCCCCCAACAAACCAACTGTGCTTTGGCCTTAATTTCTCTTCTGGATCCAAAAATACCTTTTTAGGGAAAATAAATTCGCTGCCTCCTGGTGATTGAACAATTTAAGTTGTACCAGAGAGCAGTCGATGAAGGAGACTCTTTTTAAAAAGAGTAATAAAATCTACCCTCTTAGGCACAGTGGTCTCTCTTAGGCTTTGGTTATTATATATGTATAAAAGAAGAAAGAAAAGTAATTAACTGAAGGAGGCATTTTAAAAAGAGAGATGTGCTCTCAGATGTAGAAGAATCGAACAGTGGCCACTTGATGCAGGAAGTACTCTGACAGTGAATAGCTAAGGAGCCAGCTCACTACAAATCAAACAGGCCACACGCCTGTGGTTTGCTTGAAACTTACCATTTATTTCAGCAAACAACATCAGAATCAGCTATTTAGCCAACAGGCATAGATTGGTTCATCAAAAATATTCAACAAGTTTCATTTCCATGAACTCATTTATTTTATTTATTTGTGTATGGCTTATTCTGGTTCTTGGAAAGAAATTGCCTTCAAAGACAAACTACGTTTCCAGCTGAATTTCCCCCACAGCACCTCAAGAATAAGGAGTCCCAGCTGGAAGCTGACTGAGCTGCGTAGACTCATGGCTCAGGGCTGGGCCTCTTCACAGATGACAGTGGACTGAAGTCATTTTGTGACTTAAAGTGGCACTATAAATGCAAGACAGTGACATTTGCTCATTTTATAGGCAAATACACACTTGGAAGAAAACATTTTACAGAACCCTGTGGACTAAGGCAGACAGGTCTCTATTTAGTGAGGTGGATTTTGAGTCCAAAGGTTTGACAATCTTCAAGACTCTGGGGCAAAGGGGAAAACCCTGGAGAGCTTTAACCAAATGAGCCCCACAGTTAGTGTTGACAGTCCCGAGAAATACTACATTTGGTGTCAAATCAAAATACATTAGTTTTGTTAGTTTGTGTAATGATTTCAAAAGTAAGGCTTGAGACAGGACAATGACTCCATGAGTTCAGATCCCCAGCTTACACGAAGCAAGAGGTGGAGGCAGGACTCCTCAGAGTGAGCTGGCTAGCCAGACTAATTGCAATGGCAAGCTCCAGATTCAGTGAGAGACTCTGCCTCAATGTATAAAGTGGAGTACTATAGAGGAAGACTGTGGATGTCAACCGTGGGCCTCCACAGGCTTGCACACGCATGTGCATGTGTGAGCAAACATAACACACATACACAAAACCAAAACAAAACAAAAGTAAACCTTGAAATGTTTGTAAGAGATCATTTTTTTTTCAGACAGTCTTGCTACATACCCCAGGCTAGACTTGAACTTACAGCTATTCTCCTGTTTCAACCTCCCAAATGCTAGGATTACAGATCTGCACCACCACAGACGTCATTAAAATTTGAGTCAAACAATTGCAGTGAAGAATAACATAAATGTACACTCAAAAAAAAATATTTAGAAAATTTAAAAGATATATTCGTTTTGTTTTATGTGCATGGGTATTTTGCTTGTGCACCTGTATGTATATGCACACGTATGCCTGGTGCCTGTGGAGGTCAGGAAAGGGCCTGAAACTGGAGTTACGGGTAGTTGTGAGCCACCATATGGGTGATGGGAATTGAACTTTAAACCCCCTCTCCAGTCCCATATATTTAGAATTGTAAAGCCAATATTAATCATAAACCAGTGTGTGGGAGGAATATAGCATTCTTAAAGCTCTCCTACACACAGGCCTGAGAGTTTCTCTACCGTTTGCTGCTTTTTATATATAAGTAGGGTGTGAAGGCTTGGGAGGAGGAGGGAGACCTGAGCGGAATTATAAAGATGTTTTATTTAAAAGAAAGTCTATTAGTGAGGATAAAGTTTAGCTGCATAGAACAGGAAACACAGCAAGTGTCTTCGTTAAGTTTCTGTTGCTGTGATAAAACACCGACCAAAGGTAACATGGAGAGGACTGGGTGGGTCAGCTCACAGCTTCCTGTCCATCATGGGAGCCACAGCAGGAGTCTGGTGGGGCAGGAACTGAAGCAGAGCATGGGAAAACACCACATACTGGCTTGCTCCCCACAACTTGTTAAATCAGCTTTCCTAGACACCCCAGGAACACCTGCCCAGGGATGGCACCACCCACAGCGGTCTGGCCCTCCCACATCAATCATTAATCCAGAAAATGCCCCACAGGCTGGACTGATGAAAACATTTCCTCAGTTGATGTTTCCTTGGATATGTCTAGGTTCCTGTCAAGTTAACAAATACAAACAAACAAAAAACCAAAGCCCAACCAAAACAGCAAGTATTTTAAACAAAATAGAAGTCTGCTTCTCTCTCCTCTAAAAGAAGCTGAGGTAGGCCTAGACTGGGGCTGGGCTGTGGCACCACAGTGTAACAGAGACCTTCCTGCTTGCTGTTCTACCTCAGTGTGAACTTCTAGCTCTTACTTAATGCAGCTCTGGGGCCGGCCATCACATCCACTTCTGCATACCTGGGAAGTATGACCGATGACTCCTGTCCTTAAGGCGGACTCTCAGAAGTCTCACGTAGACTTCATGCATCTGGCTCAGCAGCCCCCCAAGAGTCAATCACCCCAGAGGCTGCTGGACTCCGGTGTTTTCCTTTCTGGCTGTCAGACTTCTGACAGGCCTCCTTAAGGACGCAAGTTATTCTTCAGACCTTCAGTAGAGTGGAGTGCTAGGCACTGCTGGGGAGGTGTCCAGTCCCTGGCTATTTAATGGTTCTTTCCTCTCCCCTGAGGGAGCATTCAGAAGCCTGCCCCAACCCCTGGCTAGTTAGGTTACATTCACTAGGGATGCCAGGCACTCCTCCACCCTGGTCCATGCCCACAGAGGACCTCTGGATGCTCTATGACTTGGCTTCCCATGGGTCACCAGGTGGAAAAAGAGGTTGGGTACAGTCCTTGCCTTTTCCCACCTGGTCTTGATGGGTCTCTGCGGCTTTGTATCTCCCTATGAGGGCTGCAGCTGCTGTATACCAACCTCCCTCACGCAGTCCCTGGGAGTCCAACACCCCTTCATGTGCGTTAGCCCACCTCTCCCCTCCATCAAATGCTATGCATATAGTTCCTTTGAAAACCCTCACAGTGCCAGGTGTGGTGGTCCAGAGCTGTGATCCCAGGATTCAGAGTCTCAGGTGGGAAGATGGAAAGTTTCAGGTCGACCTGAACTATACAGAGTACAGACCAGCCTAAGTTAAATAGCAAGAGCCTGTCTCGGGAAAATCCAGGGATTCAGGCCAGCAGGAGAGCTCAGTGGGTGGAGGTGCTGCTGTTGCTGCAAGTCCTCACGACTGAGTTCTATCACTAGGACCCGCATGGGAAGGAGAGGAATGACTCCCCAGGGCTGTCCTCCGGTGTCCATATGCATGTCATGGAACACACACACACACACACACACACACACACACACGCACACCAAACAAACAAACAAATAAAATGATAAAAAATAACAACTAAGTGTTCAGGATGTAGCCCACTGGTAGAGTATTTGCCTTTCACAAGAGGGAGTGTGATCTACAAGTAACAATGTAATAACTATTATTATTGTTGTAGACCCTGTCCGCAGCCCAGATTGCCACCTGCCTCCTCTGGGCCCCTAACTGCTGTACCTTACGCACTGGAGGCCCAGCCCAGAGCTCTAGCCTGGTTCTGATTTGATGACTGGTGCCTTTTGACTGTGCAAAGCCCCATCTGGCTTTGTTTCAATGCATGCATCCGTGCTCCATGGATGATCTCAGGGATTAGAAGTACATTTTATTTCCTATAAAATCCTGTTAAAAGCTGTGCTAAATTACAGGATCCATAGGCAGCCACCAGTGTTAGACCTGAAGCTTTCTGTCACTTTGGTGACTTCATTCCTGCCACAGGAAGGGTGGGCAAGCAGATGCGAGGCAGGTGTGCATATGCCAGGCAGGTGTGCAGGTGCCAGGTGGGTGTGAAGGTGCCAGGCAGGTGTGTAGATACGAGGCGGGTGTGCAGATTCCAGATAGGTGTGCAGGTGCCAGACAGGTGTGCAGGTGCCAGACAGGTGTGCAGGTGCCAGACAGGTGTGCAGACGCCAGACAGGTGTGCAGACGCCAGACGGGTGTGCAGACGCCAGACGGGTGTGCAGGTGCCAGAGGGGTGTGCAGGTGCCAGATGGGTGTGCAGGTGTCAGACAGGTGTGCAGATACCATGTGGGTGTGCAGATGCCAGGCAAGTATGCAGATATGAGGCAGGTGTGCAGATACCAGGTGGGTGTGCAGATGCCAGGCAGCTGTGCCTGCTGACCAGCAGCTGAAGGATCATTAGGAGTGACTGTGGAGGGGAGACATGTCAGTTAATGGATTATTCATGTGCTGGCTTCGCTGTGCTGTGCTGACATTTTACTAACCTATTCAGCAGATCGAGGTTCCGGAACAAGACAGAAGTAAGAAGCAGCTGAGTCAGGTCTGTGAGTAAAATGACATCACCGATGGGTTATAATTGGGATGACTTTTCCCCAGGCTCCTTTAAGCAAAGTCCTTGGCATTCAAGCATAAACTAGAGAGCTGGCTGTTTCTTAGATGCCCCTGTGCAGATGAGCGGATGCAGGCCAGCCCCAGAACCGCCTGTTTCTTCAGCTGGGCTCAGGACAGGGGACACAAAAGTCCTTTGTGATTTTCTTCTTCAACTGGAGTGTTCATGGAAAATCTTCTTTGTAGTTTACAGATTTGGGGTTTGACTTATCTGTGTGTTTCAGTCTCCCTGGTTTTCTGCAATACAAAGGCACTTTTAAGTTTGTGAGTTCTCTTGTGTGGTAGTTTTGAGGGGCAGGAAAGACTCTTGGGAGGTAACACTGTTCAGCATTCAGCATCACCACCTTTCTGTAAGTTAATGCTCTCATCCTCTTGCAAGCTGCCAATCCACTGGGGGAACTAGGGCACAGTGGGGTTTAATGTGCAGAAGCTGAGCAGTAATCAGTGTGGAAGAAAGCAGGGCCTCTGACCGCAGGACTGGTTCCTTCATTACCGAGACCCTTCTTTCTGTGTTCCACGGCAGGGAAACGGGATAAAGCGCCCTTCCCAGCACCTGTTTCAGGGCCTGGTATGTGTATACAGGTGCCTCATACAGAAACACACACTTAAATATGTAAATACAGAAGGTGCTTTGAGCTTAGAAAATAATACTGTGTTGGTAAGGAGATGGTTAAAAGTGCCTGCCACTCCAGCCTCAGGACCTGAGTTCAATCCCTGGATCCCACAGTTGAAGGAGAGAACTGACAGGTCTCACACACACACACACACACACACACACACACACACACACACACCCTCCTAATAAACAACCAGTGTGTCTTATCTGTAAGAGGCAGTCAGATGACCCAGTGAGTAAACACTAGCCACACAAGCCCAGTGACTCAAGTTTGATCCCTGGAAACAATGGAAAGGCAGGCTGTGGTGGCACACACTTGTAACTCCAGCAGTTCACCATGAGATGGAGAGACAGGAGAAGTGCCCAGAAGCCCGAGGGCCAGCTTGCCTGGAGCTCAGTGAGGCGGAAACAAGAGGCCATGCCTCAATAAGGTCGATGCAGAGAACCGACTCCCCCAAGCTAACCCCTGACTTCCACATGTGCACCTGGTGGCCTGCATGCATGGACACACTAAAAAAATAACCATTTTAATGTAAAAAAGCATATATAAAACCTTTCTCTTTCATAATAGGCCTCTAGCTAATTAGCCTGGCACTTCCGCCCTGTGTGTTCAGACAGACCCGAACTCTAAGTGTGCGCCAGGTACTCCTGGGGTGTGACCTGCAAGGCTGATGCGATTCCCAGGCCTTACCACAAGACTGGTGTAGCAGAACTAGGGTGGAAATCAGCTTTACCACAAGTGAAACCTAGTGCTCCAACGGTCGCTTTCCTCATCTGCAAACTGGAGGTGATCACCAGCCCAGCATCTAAGTTCACCCATTTCCACAGCACGCTCATAGTCAGCCCCTAGAATCTCAGCCTTGGCTGCACATCGGAATCAGTCTTCTGGAGACTTCTAAAACCCAGTGATGGCTGGCTCCACCCCCATGGCTGGCTCCACCCCTCATGGCTGGCTCCACCCCCCATGGCTGGCTCCACCCCCATGGCTGGCTCCACCCCCCATGGCTGGCTCCACCCCCCATGGCTGGCTCCACCTCCCCATGGCTGGCTCCACCCCACAAGTTAGCTCAGTCTGTAAGCACCTGTGGTGCTAATATGAGGACTGTAAAACCCGGGATCGGTAGTGGGCACAGTGATCCCAGCACTGGGGAGTCAAACCCTCGCGGGTGTCCCAGGGGCTTGCTTCAGGTTCCATGAGAGACCCTGATTCAAAAAATAAAGTGGAGAGTGAGGAAAACGTCTGATGCCAACCTTGGGCCAACACACACACACACACACACACACACACACACACACACACACACACACACACACACACACACGCACTTTGAGAGCTCATTAAGTACTGAAGGCAAGTAAGCGCTGATAATTTAAAAAGTCCGTGCTTCTGTGCACAGGAAGATGAGGTGAAGAACTGAGTTCACGTGGCTCTGAAAGAGTGGGGAGGAACAGGCAGGCAGGGTAAGTGTTGGTGGGGTGACTCCCAGAGCCTAGAGAGCTTCCTGAGCAGGCCAGCAGGGGGCGCTGTCCTCAGTCCTCCACAGTGCAGGACTAAAGCACCTTTAAGGTGACCCTGGCTTACACAGATGTAACCTTTCGCTGTGCCTTTGATGCTATTTCAACCTCCTTGAGGTTTTCTTGTTGTTGTGGAATTTCTTCCTCTAGTTTACATTTCTGATCTGTTTATTTTCCAGCACAAGGACTATTTTAATTTTCTGAGAAAGAGCAAGATGAAGAAAGATGAAGATGAATGTGTTTGGGGGACCCTCGCGGAAGGTGGGCTCTGAAGAAGCCTCATCGTTTAAACTGTCCTTAGGGCTGTCTCCTCTCTTTGACACTGAGGTGCCCTGTGTTCATCAGTCCAACTGTAGCACTCTGTCACTCTCAGGATTCAAATGGTGTGGGAACCAAAGCCATAGATAGCGTTGGCTTAAGTGGCAGGTTCAAATCCACCAATGGGAGGTTTATTCTATGATCCTTTTAAGGTAGATGTGTATTTGGCTCCATGAAGGCTTTTGTATGTTCTGGTATTGCAGGGATAAAAAGCTTGTTCTAAATCATAAGATGCATTTGGTACCAAGGTAGATTCGCCAGTGTAGTCAAAAGTTTTCTCTGGTCCTGCCCGGCCCCTTGGTCCCACAGCCATTTATAAAATAATCACTCAAAGGCTTAATATTATTTACAAACTGCATGGCTTATGGCAGGCCTCTTGCTAGCTAGCTTTTATATCTTAAATTAACCCATTTCTATTCATCTATGTTTTGCCACAGGTTCTGTGGCCTACCAGTCTGCTGGCATGTTGTTCCTTGGGTGGCAGGCTGGCTTCTCTCCAGACTCTGCCTTCGTCTTTCCTGTCTCTCTCCTTGGATTTCCCACTTGCCTCTAAGCTGTCTTGCCATAGGCCAAAGCAGCTTGTTTATTAACCAATGGGAACAACATACATTTACAGCGTACAGAAAGACATCCCCCAGCACACCAGTCCAGGAAAACATGGCTTCTCTGACCTATCCAAGAGCAAGAAGAGGTGGTAAAATTCTGATCTGCTTCTTCGCTTACTCCTGAGTCTAATTCAGATGACCCCAAAGTGATAGCTGCCCTGGCCTGAGTCCCCCCACTGCATGGTTGTTCCCACTCTTTTTTGTTTGTTTGTTTTTGTTTTGTTGTTTGTTTGTTTTTCCCAGACAAGATTTCTCTTTGTAGCCTTGGCTACCTATCCTGGAACTCGCTCTGTAGAACAGGCTGGCCTTGAACTCACAGAGATTGTATTCCACTCTTAGGCTGGATCCTGGACCTGGAGAAATGGCTCAGTAGTTAAGAACACTTGCTGCTTTTGTAGAGGACCTGGGTTCAATTCCCATAACGCACATGATAGCTCACAACCACCTGCAACTCCAGCTCCAGAGGATCCAACATCTACTGGCCTCCCCTGGCACCCATTCCTATGTGGCACGCGTGCGCGCACGCGCACACACACACACACACAAAAACAAAATTCTATCCAATAATCTCAGCTTTACAAATGTGTGTTTTTTTTCACACTATTTTTTCCTTATACAGCTTCTGGTATACCATAGTAATTAACATAATTATGTATGTTATTATTAAGATTAAGAGCAAAGTAAAGAGGGGAAGATGAATATGCAAAAGTAACTGGGTAAGAGTGTAATATGTTCTGTTCTGAATTAGCTAATTACAAAATAAATATAAAATCTAATGAATATGAAGTTTGCTGATGAAAAATGTGTGGTTTTTTGACATGTAGAATCTATGAGTCCGCTAATATGTATAAATCAATGCCTAAAACCATAACTTCTGGACGTTAAAGATCTGAATTTGTGTTCTAGGCTGTAGTGGGGTCTCTGCAGAGACATTCGGCATCATCCCCACTGGGTGGATTAGTGTGTTGGGATCACCGACAGAGTCTGATGGAAACTTATCTACTATTTTGCCAATTTCAGAATGAATAGTCAGGATCCCTGGAAACCCATCTCAGACGCTGGGAACAAAGAGTTTGTGCTGGATTAGAAGACTGAACACAGGAGTACTGCTTTTGTAGGTTAAAAAATTGCCTGATGCCCGTTTTATGTTTCGATCTGACATATGAGAATAAGTCATCCTACAGAATGTGTAGTGACCATGCACCAGGGGCAGTTGGGAGCGCTCAGGCAAGCTCCAAGAGAGACCCTGGATAAAGAATAGTGAGTGGGGTGTGGGAGGGGGCCGCTAGCCAAGGGGAAGAAAAGCCAGCCATGGGAAAGAGAACGGTGCTCAGGAAATGCCTCAGCTGCTCTTCGCTGGTGGAGCTTCAGGTTAAGGCTGGGTCTGTAATCCCAGCACTCGGGAGGTTGAGGCAAGAAGGTCACAAGCTCAAGGCCAGCCTGGGCTACACAGCAAGTCCCTGTCTCAAACAAAGCACATGTAGTTTTAAGTTAGGGGAGTCAATAGAGGGTAAGAGGAAACTGCTCTACAAGGGCAGTGCCCCAGCAATGTGAGGCAGGCAGGCCTCTGTCCATGGTTTCTACCCCGAGTGCCCGCCGCAGCCGCTCCTGGCAGCATCCGCCTCTTCCTCGAGGAGAAGTAAGCATCACATCACATTCCGGCCCCCGGCATCTAGGGCTTTGGAAGTTTGGCTGACTTCAGAATCTAAAGACTCGGTCATCAGTCTGTCACAGCTGGAGGCCCCGGGGGAGCTGTCGAGTGAGTCTCCATCATCCTGGAATTGTCACCGGCTGTATGGACCCCACCACAGGACCACCTGGGCTGGAGTCAGCGCAGGGCGGAGAAGGAAGGCTGCAGTTTACTCCCAGGAAGGCCCTGGGCATTCGCGGCATACGCCCTCCCTCCTTCGGGGCGGTCTGGACTCGCAGACTCTGCAGCGTGGATTTACCTGCCTCTCCACCTTCATCCATCAAGGCTGCACAGGTCCTGGACATGCATAGACTTCACTTTTTCAGCATTGTTCCCTAACCACAGCATGGCGGGATTTCCCATTGTGCTTGCTTTGTGCCGGGTATGACGTGTGACCCAGCGGGGGTTTGTATGAAGGCTTCATACAACGGCATGCCATTTTTCACAAAAGACGTGAGCATCTGTGGATTTTAGCTCCACGGGTCCCGAGGGACAATTGTATCTGTAAAAAAGGTCCCCATCAGCCATTTTTCCCTTCTGACATAGCTACGTTCCTACATTATCCAATAGCTCGTCTAAAGCTAGGCCTTTTTTTTTTTTTTTAAAGACTGAATCTCACTACGTAGCCCTGACTGATCTGGAACTCACTATACAGACCAGATTGGCCTTGCACTCACAGAGGTCCACCTGCCTCTGCCTCCCAGTGCTGAAATTAAAGTTGTGCACAACCACTGCCGAGCTGCATTCTTTAAAATTGTTATTTATGTTCCAAAATAACTATCATAAGTAAACTTAAATTGAAAATCTCACAAAGGCCTAATTGGGGTAAAAAAAAAGAAAGAAAGAAAAAGGGGGGGTGGGCTGATTAAACTGAGGTCAGCGCCACTGTCTGAGGCATTCCTGTGGCAGGGAACAGGCTCTGCCTGCAGCGTGGGCACGTCCCACCATGTGCTGTGGTCCATGTTAGGGGCGGAGTACTGGCAGCCTACCTCCGTCCTCTTGTGAGCAATTAGACAAGCTTTATGTTAAACGTCCCAGTTAGAAATAAATTAAGATCATCCCCAAAGTAAGTTTAAGGAAGGTTAAATGATCTAAATTTATGGAAAACCAAATGGGGTTCAAGCTTTGGTGAGAAAACCCAGACAAGAAGGATCCTACAATACAAAATAGGAGAAAACCACAACTCAGCGGCAGAAGTATCCGTGCGTCCCGAACGCCCTTTGAGTTATCCCCCTGTCTTGTGATCAGTGTGCAGTGCCAACCAGGCAAGCAGAGAGCGTGGCTGTGGGAGACATGCTGGAGAGTGCCTTTCCCTCGGCAGCCTCGTTCCTGTCCTCCTCAGCGAGCCAGGAGCGTCAAGGAAAAGGTGAGTAAGTGTGCTGTAATAAAATGTGCTGCGTGAACTTAGAAAGCACTATACCCAGTGATCCCGTGCACGCGGCTTGCGGGTCCCACATGTGCCCCAACCTTTATTGAGGTGCAACTGTACCTTGCTGACAAGTTTCTCTTTAATATAAGAAAATCCCTGAGACGGGGTAATTCATAGCACACAGATGTGTCCCTTCTCTGGAAGCTGGGGAGATCATACAAGGATGCTGACAGCTGGCCATCTTCTGCGGGTGCTCTCTGCTTCCCAGAAGCCACCTGCTCCCCATCCTCACACAGCTGGAGGGACCGCAGGAAGGGACTCTAGTTCCGCAAGGTGATCATTCCATCCACGACTTGATCATTCCCTAAATGCCTGACCTTTCTGTACTGTCACACTGGTTACTAAATTTCACCATGTGGATTTGGGGACGGTACAAAAAACCATGTGAGTTTTCACTCATTCCTTAGTCATTTCTTGTGAGCTAGAAGATGGATATGCAATGCACATTTGTCAGGTTCTTAAAAAAATCATCTGTGGTCACTGTTAGGGATCTTCTCATTCTGGATGCCTTATAACAAATGTGTGAGCTGAGAGCTGGCTCTCATTCCTGACCCATCTTCCCCTATAAATAACGCTCAGAAGTCCCCTTCTTCCTCATCAGAAACATGGACTCTGAAGAAGTCTCGGTCCGCTTGTGTGTGCAGAAATCCCTGGGAGAGCTTGGCGCCCCTGAGTCTCCCTGAGGTCAGTTTTGTAAAGGTGGAAAGGAAGGAGGGGACCGGTGTTTGCAAGGACAACAGGGCCGAGGCCGGCTCAGACGGCAGGAAGAGTGTCCTTTCTTCTGAGTAACAGTCACCAAGCGTTTGTTTTGAGAAGAGAGTGGGAGTTACGTTCCCTCTGAGGTAAATTTCCATTCTGTTGGAGTCCCTGGGGTGAGTTCAGCCTCACACACAACTGACTCGAACCCTCCAACACAGATGATGGGAATCATCTCAGCTGCTTGTCATGTGGACTGAGCAGACACTCCCAGACTTCGGGGACCAGTAAGAATCTTTAGCTTTTTCCGTGACCAAATCTAACAAGCCCTGAACTAGCATGATTTCTAAGAAGCGGCAAGGTTAAGGGTTAGAGGGAGCTTGGGGTGGGAGTGGTCTCTGCCTTCTTGCCCTTCTTTGTCTGTTTCTCTTAAGACTTTTAAGCCTAGTGACTTTCTGGGAAGTAGAGTGGTTTGTTATTTTATAAAAAATATTCGAGGGCTGGACAGGTGGCTCAGCGGTTAAGAGCACTGGCTGTTCTTCCAGAGGTCCTGAGTTCAATTCCCAGCAACCACATGGTGGCTCACAACCATCCGTAATGAGATCTGGTGCCCTCTTCTGGCCTGCAAGCATGCATGTAGGCAGAACACTGTGTACATAATAAATAAATAAATCTTTAAAAAAAAATATTCGAAACTTTCATACAACACATTCTGATCCTATTTACCCCCAACTCCTCTCAGCTACTCCACCTTCCCTACATAACCGAATCCAACTTTGTGCTCCCTTCTTCCCCTCACCGCTCAATCCATCAAGTCTGTTTCGTGTTCCCAGCTAGTCCTGTAGTGTGGTTAACCCCCGGGAGTCACACTATTAAAGCCACTATCAAATGCCAATAGTGCCTCAGCTGGGGTGGGACTTTGAGAAGGTTCTTACTAACTGGTTTAGGTTGGACTTAAGCTCATCATCTTCCTGCCTCAGTCTCCTGAGTGCCGAGGTTCTATATATAGAACAGATGTGTTCTAGGGCACAGCTGGACAATAAAGGGAATGACAGGTGCTGGGTAGATGCTTCACCTGGAAAGTGCTTGCTTCATGAGTATAGGGATCTGATTTCAATCCCAGAATTCATGTACACACACACACACAAATTAAGAAGCTAGCCATAGAGGTTCATGTTTGGTATTCCAAAGCTGTTGAGGCAGTAACTGATGGATCCCTGGGGCCACTGGCTAGCTACTTGATGAGTTATGAAAGAAAGAAAGAGCTGGGCGGTGGTGCCACACGCCTTTAATCCCAGCACTTGGGAGGCAGAGCCAGGCGGGTCTCTGTGAGTTCGAGGCCAGCCTGGGCTACAGAGCAAGATCCAGGATAGGCACCAAAACTACACAGAGAAACCCTGTCTCAGAAAAAAAAAGAAAAGAAAAGAAAGAGAAAGGAAGGAGAGAGGGAGGAAGGAAGGGATAATGTCTTCTGTACCAAGAAGTTCTGTTGCCATTTTCAGTGATGTACAATGGCCTCTTCTGGGCTTTGGAATTCATGTTAATACACCCTACATTCCAAGCAAGGGTCTTCTTCGATGCCCAGGAGTTCCTATCGCATTGTTCTCTCCTCAGAGCCCCTAGAAGCAGGCCCACCTCGGAGCTTCTGGAACAAGCGCCACTGGCTTGTTCAGACAAAGGCATGCAAATTGCTTACAGCCTCTCAGCTCGGGAAGGGGCCTTGCAGGCATTGCACGTTCTTCTGCTGGAAACACTTTGGAGTATTCAAGTTCCACAGACAGGAGTGATAGCAGGGAGGCTACTCTGACCCTCACTCTCCTCTTCAGCTGATGCTGAGCTTGTTCCTGCTTCCAGTCATCCATGGAGTTTAGGCAAGGTCTGACCTGGATGCTCTCAATTTCCTTACCTGCAAAATTAGCTGTAAGAACAGGTCTCGGTTTTTGCTGGCTTGGCTATACTGGTAACTATGTT